TGTCTTGTTTTTGAAGTTGTACTCTGCAGGGCTGTACGCTTTATCATTTCTTCACTAACTGGGGTGTCACTAACTTGCAACAAACATATTGTTCTCGTTCCGTGTCTGTGCCCCTGGAAACAAGGAAAAAAAAAAAGGAAGGTGCCTGGAGCTTGTGCCTTTAAAGGAAACCCATCAGAACAAACATTGGATCTGTCAGTCTATTTTTGACTGTTTTATGTCTAAATTGGTATGATTTGTTTAATATTTATCACCTGTTATTTTGTGCCTCAGTTAATATGGCTGTACTGCTCATTTGTATATTGGGTATATGATATGGAAAGAAGTCTTAAACACGATAATTTCAATAGATAATGTCAATAGATTTCTTTGTTCCATTTCACAGACATTTGTACCACCAGAAAGTGAACTTCTCAAATCTAGAGCACCCTGAAGGTTCTACAGTACCATGAAGATGTCTTTGGAGCTTTGCATAAATATTTAATAATAAACATGTTGCCTTGCGTGATGATTCTGTGTTACATTCTTCTACATGAGTTGGCTATCAATAAAATCTGCACCAAGAGAGATATGGAGACTACCATTGCTGACTTCCTGAAAATTCCAGTTCTTGGCCTTTAATAATCTGATCTAGTGATTTGCAGTAAGGTGAATCCAAACACCTACATATTTGTACTGGACCAGTATTTTGACATGTGATAAAGCAATTTGCTTTAATATGACAGCCATACAGCTTCCATTTTAGAGGGAGAGGTCACCAATGACAATGCCATGGGCAGCTTTGGATATTGTCATTGGTGATCTCCCTCTAATATGACAGCCAGACAGCTTCCATTTTAAAGGAGATAATTACAAAACCGTACATAGTACGGTTTTGTAATTATCAGCTTTGATCTGCTGACATCTGCTCAGCACTGTAGCTCAGCTCATGCTGTAGGGCACACTTGCCGCAACCAGGACTGCTTAAATGAACTGCTGGAAAAGGCTCTGTTCAACCGAGGGTCCGCCAAACTACATGACAAGTTTCCTGTAATTTATGCTTACAATTTGCAGAGTTTAAGAAAGTCAGGTCTTTTGAACAATTAATATATAGTTGTGCTCAAAAGTTTGGATACCCTAGCAGAAATCATGACATTGTGGCACTTTTATTGAAAATATGACTGATCATGCCAAAAACTCTTTTATTTAAAGATAGTGATCATATGAAGCCATTTATTATCACATAGTTGTTTGACTCCTTTTTAAGTCACAATGATAACAGAAATCACCCAAATGCCCCTGATCAACTGTTTACATATCCTGGAATGTTCGGCCTCGGTACAGACACACAAGGTGACACACACGGGTTAAAATGGCAACTAAAAGATTAATTTCCCACATCTGTGACTTTTTAAACTGCAATTAGTGTCTTTGTATAAATAGTGGATGAGTTTGTTAGCTCTATTGTGGATGTACTGAGCCATGGTGAGCAGAAAAGAACTGTCAAAAAGGCCTGTGTAACAAGGTAATGGAACTTCGGGAAACTTGTGGATAAAAAGAAACCCCCATAGGTAACCTCAGGAGAAATACAGGCTGCTTTGGTAAAAGACAGTGTGGTTGTTTCAATGAGCACAATACGATGATACTTGAACAAAAATGAGCTGCATGGTCCAGTTTCCAGAAAGAATCCTTTACTGCACCAATGCCACAAAAAAAGCTTGGTAACGCGTGTCAAAGTGGTGTTGGGCATAGTGTAAGCGGGGTTTTGTGGCATTGGCAGAAGTGGGAGCGGGTACCTTTCAAAACCAGGCACCCACCCCCTTCAAAAAAAAGTGCCATTTCCTAAAGAGGTGGGGGGGAGGGGGTCTTAAATTGGGACTTCCCTTATTGGGAGAAGCTCCTCTTTAAAATAAAAAAAAGTGCTTTTCCCATGTAGAAAAATTATTAGGGCTGCTTAAATCTGCCTCAGATTGGCTCTTTCAATAACAGCCCAGCCTGAGATGGACCATGCCCCCTTGTTTTCAGGTTTCAGACACTGCTCTGCAATTGCAATGGATGGGGTCTGTCAACCCTGCATGCACCCTGTGAATTGCAGAAGTGGTGTTTAGGGGGAAACCATCTTAATTTCTTGTTTCCAAAGGATCCTGGTGGTGCCCAATTCTGATTCATAGTTTCTTTTTTTTTTTTTAACTGGAGAGTTAGCCTTTAAAATTAAATTCCATAATATATAGGGTGTAACGTACATTGTAAAGCATAGTCAGAAAGATGGACTTGTCCATCTTTCCAAACAGAATTCACGGGTTGTTCTGCCGTTATATGAATTTGGTGAAGCCGTGTGGCTCCACCTGCACAGCCATGTCATTTCTTCACAGGAATCTGAAATGATCTGCCATCATGGCAAAGGGACTCACAGTTCTCAATGGAGAACAAGTGCAATAACATTACCACACATGTAGTCCATTGATACGTACTCTGACCCTGTAACTGGTGTTACAGACCTGTAGCTGGATGAATAGTTTGCAGGAGCATGAATATTCTGCCTGTGATCCACTGATCATGGTCTGTAAGCTCTAATTTAAAAAAATATCATAAATACGTTTAAAAAAAAAAAAAAAAAAAAAAAAATCAGTATGGGTGCATTTACTATTCTTTTATAAATGACATATAAGTAAGTAGCTTGAATCAGCAATGTTTAATTAGTAATAATGTATTGCTGTCTTTGTACTAAAAATGGCTGTCAGATCTGACCACCCAGCAATGGCTGTCAGATCTGACCACCCAGCAATCTATTATTATAATTTAAAATGTGCAGTGCTCTTACATTAATATACAATGATTTCATTACACATCCAAATAATCTATGTGCTTTGGTGTATCACACACAAGACAAAAAGTGAAAAATAATCACAATGAAAAAATATTTTCTGCCTGAGTCAAGAGAAAGAAGAGTCCAGGAAATGGGTGTACTTCTGTGATCAAAAAAAAGTCAGCATTGTGCCACCAACGGATGATTCCAATTTCCATAGACTTCTTAATATATCCAGTGAAGACAGAAAACACGGAATTCTTACCAAATATCCATGGCCCACCTATTTAATCAGTGGCCTTAAGCACTTGTGGAATTGATCCCAGTAATGCCCTGAGCAGAGGTATGTCCCAGCTTCCTACCAATCTCAGCTCATGCAGTAAGGACATATAAGACCAAACCAAGCCTCATAGTGCAGTAAATCCAATAAAAATGATTTTTTAAAATCATAAAATTTAAAATATAATTTCGAACAATAAAAATACCAGTATATCACAAACCTGCAGCTAGAACTATATTCCAGCGGCTGTTAGGCGTAATAAAGTCACATTAAGCACCACCCTGCGTGTTTCGGCATACATTAGACGTATGAATCTTTATTAAATGCATGACAGTGTAAGTTGATTGTGCCGAAGCATGCAAGTTAATGCACAGTACAGGCACACCCTTAGCACTCACCTTATCTTATGACAACAGCAGGAATTGGCCAAAATAAACTAACCTTTCTGGTCGGCTCCTCTCCCAAAAACACTTGGCTTGGGGTGTGGAAAGTACAAAGGTATGAAGAGTGATAGTCCCCCAGGTCAAAAGATTGGTAGCTGTGGCTATCTAAACATCAAAAGTATAGGTACCCATATGGACTGAAAGCCAGTTGACGGAACAATACAATTTCTGTGGCAGTAACTCAATTAATAGGTTTAGCTACACTGCCCCAGAAATACAATGTGGCATGAGTCAGCTAATGGGTGCCAGCTATCAGAGAAACAAAGTGTCCACTTCAATCTCTCATTGCTGTCTTCTGTGAAAAATGATGCATCTTGCAACAAAAAAACTCTTCACCCTTTAATAAATATTCACAGAGGTCCCTTTCACCACAATAATCAGGTTCACACTTTTTTGTTGCAAGATATTATTTTCACAGAAGAGAGCAATCAAAGATTGAAGTGAACACTTTTCTTTTCACATTTGTTAATTGGACATTTTATATCTCTGTTGGATTTGTTTTTTCATGTAAGCACAGAACACCATTGTATTTTTATCTATACTTTTGTTTTTGACACAGTGTTACTTGGATCACTTTAAAAGTTTCTTCATTTTTATTGCAAGGTATATATCACTGTGCTGTACTCTGAGGTATTATAGACTTCATTTATTTTATACTTTTTGGGGTTATTAAATACAGCAGCAATTTTGGTTGTTGGTGTTCTATGCATTTTATGGTTCATTAGGGATATATATACTGTGTGTATTTATATATAGGCAGCCCCTGAGTTATAAACATGGCCGATATATAAGAACACTACTTAGGAATGGTAGCCGACTTACATAAGACTCATACTTAGGAATGGAGGCAGTGCAATGTCACGCTGGTCTCAGAAACTCCCAGGCAGCCATCTTGCTCACCACATGCTGCCACCTACTGCCTGGCGGACCTGTTGGCAATCCCTCGTCATTGCATGTCCAGCTAACCCTTGCTTATGCTATCCAAAAGTTTAAATTTTTTTGGCTGGAGCTACCCTAAAAAAAAATGTACCTGTTCCAACTCACATACAAATTTAACAATTTGTGTATATACATACACACACTATATATAGATGTATATAATCTCCATTTAGAGCAGATTGGGGATTTTTACACACTCTCTCTCTCTCTATTTAGAGCAGATTGGGTATTTTTTCTTTTATGCCCTCATATTAATATGAAAAGGTGAAAAAAAGTTAGAAAACAACTGCCATTTTGTTAAATTATCTTGCCATTTTCTAGGCAATTCTGCTTTTACAAAATTTCTTTGCTTTCTTTCAAACAAACAGCATTACACACACAAGATCAGCAGCTACCATTTTAATATTTTTTCTTACAGCCTAGTATAATAAATCATACATCCCATAGTAAATAAAGGTAAGTGTTCAACTCCATAGCAAAAAATATATTTAAAAAAAATGATTTGACCTGAAGATCAGTACTAATTTAGTGCTGGGTGCATGACATGCTCTATTCACAAAACAACACATTTGTGTTTCGGGGAGTGGATATACCTTCGATATTCTGCAAGCTGAGTCAAGTAAAAATGTGAAGGCCATCTGTGCTTTTCTACAAACTCCAGTTCTTCAGCTGAATGAAAAAAGAATAAAATGCTGTCTCAGAATGTTTACAGGCAGAGGCAAGTCTAACATCAAGAAAAATGAACAAATGGAATTAGACATGGCTGTTTCTACTCAGGTAAATTAGGCACAGGTGTTCCTAGCATGATAAAAAGGTAAGAACTTTTAGCCTGGGTTCACATATATGCAGTGCGGTATATCACATGTGATTCGCACAGGAACCGCACCGCATTCCTGTGCAAACCACATGCGATTTGTGTGCAATGTGATTAGAGCCATACATTTTGTATGGCTCTACTTGCACCGCACCCACACCAAAAAGGTGCAGGTCCCTTTTTTGGGTCCGCACTAGAATCTGATCGCATGGGTATTCACACCTATGCGATCCGATTCTGCTCATCGCACTGCGTTTTGCAGACTGCTTTCGGGGTCTTGTTAACATACACACCTGCAGTGGTTCGCATGAACGGGGTGTGATTCTGATGCGGTGCGGAATTCGCACAGAAAATGCTGCGAATTCCGCACCACATCAGTGTAAACCAGGGCTTAGAGTCAATTCACACTGGCACTAAAATGTGTGGAAAATGCTTGTACATTTCCATCCATTTTAGTTTTGTTTTATTGCACGCTGAAGTCCATTGACATACATTTTGATGTCAGTTGACATGCATGTGCAGGATTATGGTGTGAATAGGACACATTGGAAATGATTGTTTTTCAGACATCCTTGCACTGATCTGTGTGTTGCAGCTGCACTAAAATGCAGATCAACGCACAGGTGTGAATTGACCCTAATTCAGTCAGGTTACCCAAGGAATGACTCATCTGACAATCTCAAAAAAGAATCTTCATCTCATCTCTGGGCAGTACAGAGATCACAGAGGAAAGGACATATTGGCTCAATGTTTCAATGGAGAAGGAACAATCTGCACATAAAACCCTGCAAAAGGCCTGAAATAACCTTACTCTCATCTTCTCTTTTCCTTGATGAAAGGAGGCATGTGAAGGGCTCTGAAATAGACCTCTGTTCCATGAGTCCTTTAGAATGCCATGATATTACTACACGGTATCTGACATTGCATCTTTGCAACAGCCGACACTCATCCAAACTTATGAAGCACCGGTGAGGATTAGGGTTCATGTACATGGGGCGTTTGGAAAATTCTTCTGACTGCTGGAAACTGACTGCTGAATACGTAGGTTTGCATACCGCATTTATGCACATTTGCATTTAGAAGCTGATTTTAAAAGATAACCTCAGAAGACCCTCCCAAGTGCCCAGAACGCACTTAAAAATAGTAAATTATTTCTCTCAAAATGTCTGAAATAGTTAATTGAGAGAGCAGAAGCAGAGAGAGCAGTATGTTTGAGATTACCTCTCTTTTCTGGTTGCATTCACTATGGATCCCATCATGAGCATAATGTAGCACATTCTACCATTTTTTCCTTCACGCAAAACCTGGAACTGACTGCGCTGGTGTCCATTTGAATACATGGAAAATGCTTTGCATGCATTTTTGATGAAGAAAAAAAGAATGACTGTAAACTTAACTGCCTGTAAACGACTGTGTACATGGACACATAGGAAGATATAAAGGAGAGTTCAGGGGCTGCTGAAAAAAAAAAACGCTCAACTGCTCCTGAACGTCAGTTTAGCTCCTGAATGTCAGTTTAGCAGCTGCAGTGTACATGAGCCCTTAAATAGGTGCTCCTCCACATTATCACAACATGCTGTCAGTGTAATCTAAAAGCAATAATGGTTTGACAAATACGCTCACCATACATATCCAGCACTAGTATAAATATACAGATTATTAATCTTCTAAGGGCTTCCCTGTGTAGCCTAGGCTCTTTGCGATTGGTGGGTTTTCCTCAGAAAAAAGATCATCATTATGGATGATGTAGCATGGCATTGTGTAGCAATGACGTGAGGAGATAGAAGTCAACTCTTTGGGTGGGTGTTTCTATGTAGACATGATCAGGGTTCCCTATGCCTGAGGACTCAGAGTATGGCACCATTGACCTCGTTTCCCTTAGGTGGTTTCTAGTGCTTCTCCTTCAAGGGATCGAGGCAAAGAGGGAGAGCTTTTGATCCTCTGTGCAAAGTAAACTGGTCTCAAGAGGGACTGCTTATGTTCTTGCTATAACCCGTGGTGCTGATGGTAAATAAAAAACACAAAACTCTGCGCTATAGTGTCAAATCTGTGTGTAGTTGCCTCCACCATGCCCAAAAGGATTAACCCTAAAGCCAGCCATACATGGGTCGAAAATCAATTGATTTTTCTTCCAAAAATTGGACCTAAGAATAATCAGCTGATTTTTGCTGTGTTAGTGGGTCAATGGCACCGGCTGATTATCGTGGTTCCTCCCCTTTTTGATGATCGGCCATGTTGGAAAATTCGTGAAAAACTACCGATTTTCGACTCAATGATGGTCAATTCATACGATCATTTTTCCGAAAAGAATATGCGCATTAGCCGTGACCTGGAAGGAACAGACGTTTTGCATGTTATATGGGGTGAACTTTATGACTTGGTCGGCCGATTTTTGAAATCAATGATGGCACCATCGGATTACCGAGCAAACAACGTTTCCAATTTTTGGACGAAAAATTGTTTTTTAATGCAAACCATGTATGGCCTGCAAAAGGATTGAAATACAATTGGTGTGACACTTATTGTTGGCGCTATATAAATCCTGTATAATAATAATAAAGTGAAGTGACTGGTGCTAAAAAATTCTTGGTGTGTGTGCAAATCACACCTGTGCTCCCCTCCTTGTCCACCTCATTCTCCAGAGTGACCCCCAATACAGCATAAGTGGGTCTCAAGCACTTTTAGGATGTTTACCGTTCCTGATGACGTCAAAGTGTCGAAACTCATTGGTCGGGTTGTTTACATCACTTCCATTTTCAGATTTCCAGAGGGTGGAACTCTGGTAGTTATAAAAAGTAACACATGCGCTATAGCTTGTTATTTACAGTCAGTAACACAGTAAGCGCCACACCAATATTATTTAAATCGTGATGTTGAAGGTACTTGATATTTGTGCCACCGTTTATATTTTTTTTTATAAGCTCAAATGCATGGACTCAAGTTCTTTTGCACCATAAAGATGGCCTATCTAAGGATAATGAGCTCAATTCACTAAAGAATATTTCAGAGATAATTGAATCACATGACACATTTTTTCCAATTATTTCTCATGAGATACTGAAAATGTCAATTCACTATCATCCTTATGAGCATTTTTACCTCAAAAACAAAAAAAACATGAGTTAAATAACTCATAAAAAGGCATTAAAGTCAATTCACTAAAGGAAATAAATAAATAAATGCACGAGTTAAATAAGCAGTGGTCCAGGCAAGCAGTATTTAAAGTGTAACTAAAGGCAACACTTTTTTTTTTTTTTAGTTTTGGACAGAATAGAGAGGGATTAGAATGCCTGCCAGCTTTTACTGCTGTCTGTGCCCTTGTTAAGGAGATTCACCCTATTTGTCCAGTTTACCATTTTCATTGAAAGTAAAAGAAAACTTCAAATTTTGGGTGGTCCCCAGAAAAGTAATAGAGGAGAAATTTTCCATTAATTTGCAGGAATTTCCTCTCACTTCCTGTTTGGCTATTTTTGTTTTGTTTCTTTTGTATTAATACATATGCTGCAAGGACTGCATGAACTTAATGAGTTGGCATATTTCTATGGTTTAAACCATTTTACCCCTTTATTGCAACAAAAATCTGGCAGGGGTTCAAATCCTTCTCTATTGTATCCATCCCACTGGATATTATTATTACTACAGGTACTTATCAGGGGCGGACTGACCATTTGGAAACTCGGGCACTGCCCGAGGGCCTGAGGCCAATAGGGGGCCCCATGAGATGCCCCTGGTACCTTTTTCATAGGCTTTTTTGAGCTTGGGCAAGGACACAGGGGCCCCATGATCCCCTATTGCCCGGGGGCCCCATGAGTTGTCAGTCCGCTCCTGGTACTTATATAGCGCCATCAATTTACGCAGTGCTTTTACATATATATTGTACATTCACATCAGTCCCTAACCCTCAAGGGTCCTACAATCTAAGGTCCCTAACTCACCTACATACATTTACTAGGGCCAATTTAGACAGGAGCCAATTCACCTACCAGCATGTCTTTGGAGTGTGGGAGGAAACTGGAGTACCCGGAGGAAACCCACGCAGGCACAGGGAGAACATGCAAACTCCAGGCAGGTGGTTCCATGGTTGGGATTCGAATCAGCGACCCTAGTACTGCCAGGCGGAAGTGCTAACCACTAAGCCACTGTGCTGCCCATGATATCACATGAGATAAAACATGGATTCATGAGCATATTTTAATGAAATAACTCATGCTTTATTTTAGTAGTGCTTTTGTGAATTGCAAAAAGTTTGAAAAAAAAGCTAAGAGTTATTTTACCTCACATTTTAAGAGGAAAATAACTCTTTGTGAATTGAGCCCAATACTGGCAATAAGGGGAGGGTGTTGACAAAGGCTACCAAGAGTTTGAAAATGCATAGCCTCTTTGTCAAAGTCTGGGAAGAAGTAGGATGGAGAAAAGAACTTGGGGTTAGAGTCATTTAAATCTTATGTCCTGCCTGAAGGAGAAGTTACCTATTCCCACAAAGTATCAGAAACAAAGAGAAAGTGGTTGTCTTTTTTAATTTTTCTGACCTTAGGCTGCATTCACACTTTGTAGCTTGAAGCTCGAAGTTCCAAAAAAGCTTAAACCTAAATTATCCTTTGTTCTCTATGGTGCCTGTTCACACCTGATCAGACGAACAGGCACCATAGAGAACAATTGATTTTTTAAGTTTGAGTGTTTTTGGAGCTTTGAGCTTTAAGCTACAAAACACTCAAGTGTGAATGCAGCCTAAAGGGCCACTAGTGGAGTGCTGATAAACCTGTAGACTAAAGAGGTTGTGTTCATTGACAAAAGAAGTATTCTGGGTGGGGTGCAACGAAGAAAGCATGTGGTCCTGGAACATGGGGTATCTGCTGCTGTAGTAGGGTGCTAATGGAGAGCATCCTGGTGAAAAATCTCACTCTGCCGCAATACAACTTCTGGTAGGAAGAAAGCTCTCTTGTGTAGCCAGGCTACAAAACCCAGGTGCTGGTCTTAAACTATTTGTTAGAATTTACTTATAAAACATATAATCAAAGAAATGCAAATATAAAAATATATATTAAAAGTACCTGAAAGATCTTGGAAGTCGGCCTTCTGGCTGAAGATTAAATAGTGTGCAGCAAGAAAATAGAGCAGCCAAGTGTACAGGCTTTCAGAGTTATAAAACTACAATACAGGAAAATCGATAATTAATACACCTTACGGTATTATATAATGGTATGTATGCATATTTCTCAGTTACACATTTTAAGATGCATTAGTCATGTCTCACAATGACCCTGCAATTGCTTTCCTGTGAGATTTCTGTGCAATTTTAGAGCAGTGTTTTCAGCCCACTAACGCACTATAGCCAGATCGCATGGTACTTTGGTACATTGCGATCTGCTGCAGACTAACGCACTGCATTTGCCCTCTGCGCTTGGGGTGTCGCTAACTTTACAGTGACACCTGCTGCAGACTGCAGGCACAGCACAATTGGGACATGGTGCTGAAAATGCGCAATCCAGCTCTGCGTTCAAGTGTGAACTGCCACGTAATCAGGCAAAAGTTCTGCATGAAGCGAGAAAAAAAAAGTTTCAAATGAAACCATAAATGTATCTTAAATATATACTAAAATGTTGCAAATATGTTTCCATGCATACAATTGCAGGATTAAATTGAAAAGATAATGCAAATCTTTCTATAAAAAATATTTTGTCTATAAAAACTTTGAATACTGCTCCTGCTTTCTCAAATGGCCCTTCTTTAAACTCTTTGTTTGCTGGAGACTATTTTTTGCCATATAAATGAGGTAAGGTGTTATTACATATAAAAAAACATTTTCCTTCTTGAATTTGTAATATGAAAATGACCAAATTACATTTAAAATCTAACTAAAAGGCAAAACTTTTTTGGTTTTAGATAGAGTAAGGGAGGGTTATAACCCCTGTCAGTTTTCGCCATCTTTATCCTATTGGGGAGATTTGCCTTTACTTCCTGTCCCACAGCCAAAAAAGTGAGAAAAAAATCCCTGCAAATTAAGGGAATTCCCTGGGGATCCTCAGGTCACCAAAATAGTGTCCCCATTGGACGATTTCCCCTCTATCACTTTTCTGGGGCCACCCAAACATTACGATTTTCTTTTACTTTCATTTTTTCAAAGATAATGGTTTAACAGGACAAATAGAGAGGGTAAATCTCCCTAATGGGGGTACAGACAGCAATATAAACTGACAGGGGTTCCAATTCATTTCAACTCTATCCAAAAAAAACAAACCAAAAAAAAACAAGTTTTGCCTTTAGTTACACTTTAACCTCAGCCTAACCTCTGACAAACACTATGTTACCCTAACATTTCACATTCCTGATATGTACCTGCTGTACCATGTACAGTACTTGTGTTAAAAAGTATCCTGTTCTCAGTATTGCATCCTTTGTGTGAAATCCCCGGTGTTCCTGCCAGTCCCTCTGCTTTCCTATTTTAAACTGATCATGCTAGGCATTAGAACACATCCTTCCCAGTGTGGTCAGTTTTCTGGCTGTGCTGGGAGAACAGCCTGCCTGTCTTCCAATGATCAGACTTGTGCTGACACCCCCTGCACAGCCATTCACTGGGAAGATTCACTGGGCAGCACAGTGGCTATATGGTTAGCACTTCTGACTGGCAGTTGGTTTGAATCCCAACCACGGCACCACCAGCCTGGAGTTTGCATGTTATCCGTGTGCCTGCGTGGGTTTTCTCTCACACTCCAAAGACATGCTGGTAGGTGAACTGGTTCCTAGTACGTATGAATGTGAGTTAGGGACCTTAGATTGTACGCTCCTTGAGGGTTAAGAACTGATGTGAATGTACAATATATATATATATACAGTTGCAAGAAAAAGTATGTGAACCCCTTGGGATTACGTGGAGTTTTGCATGAATTGGGCATAAAATGTGCTCTGAACGTCATCTAAGTCACAACAATAGAAGAACACAGTCTGCTGAACATAATACTACACAAACATTAGATGTTGCCATGGTTTAATTGCACATAACATGTAAACATTCACAGTGCAGGGAGGAAAAAGTATGTGAACCTTTGGACTTAATAACTGGTTGATCCTCCTTTGGCAGCAATAACCTCAACCAAACGTTTCCTGTAGTTGCAGATCAGACCTGCACAACAATCTGGAGTAATTTTGGACCACTCCTCTTCACAAAACTGTTTCAGTGTAGCAATATTCTTGGGATGATTGGTGTGAATCGCTCTCTTAAGGTCATGCCACAGCATTTCAATCGGGTTGAGGTCAGGACTCTGACTAGGCCACTCCAGAAAGCGTATTCTGTGCTGTTGCAGCCATTGTTTTGTTGAATTACTTGTATGCTTTGGGTCATTGTCCTGTTGCATCACCCATCCTCTGCGGAGCTTCAGTTGGTGGACAGATGGTGTACGTTTTACTGCAAAATGTCTTTATAAACTCTGGAATTCATTTTTCCATCAATGACAACAATCCGTCCAGGCCCTGAGGCCACAAAGCAGCCCCAAACCATGATGCTCCCTCCGCCATGTTTTACAGTGGGGATGAGGTTTTGATGTTGGTGTGCTGTGCCTTTTTTTCTCCACACATAGTGTTGTGTGTTCTTCCCAAACAACTCAATCTTGGTTTCATCTGTCCACAGTATATTTTGCCAGTAGTGCTGTGGAACATCCAGGTGCTCTTTTGCAAACTTCAAACGTGCTGCAATATTCTTTTTGGACAGCAATGGCTTCCTCCGTGGTGTCCACCCATGTACTCCATTCTTGTTTAATGTTTTCCTTATTGTAGATGTGTCAACAAAAATGTTAGCATGTGCCAGAGATTTCTGTAGGTCATTAGCTGACACTCTGGGATTCTTCTTTACCTCATGCAGCATTCTGCGCTGTACTCTTGCAGTCATTTTTACAGGACGACCACGCCTAGGGAGAGTTACAACAGTGCTAAACTTTCTCCATTTGTAGACAGTCTGTCTTACTGTGGACACATGAACATCAAGGCTTTTGGAGATACTTTTGTAACCCTTTCCAGCTTCATGCAAGTCAACAATTCTTGATTGTAGGTCTTCTGAGAGCTCTTTTCTGCAAGGCATGGTTCACATCAGACAGTGCTTCTTGAAACCAGTAAACCCAAAACAGGTGTGTGTTTTTTAAGGACCCAGGACAGCTGTCAGCCACACATCCAATATCATCACACTGATTGGAGTCAAGGTTGGCTCACTCCTGGCTCCAATTAGCTCTGGGAGAAGTCATTAAGTTAGGGCCTCACATACTTTTTCCTCCCTGCACTGTGAATGTTTACATGTTATGTGCAATTAAACCATGGCAACATCTAATGTTTGTGTAGTATTATGTTCAGCAGGCTGTGTTCTTCTATTGTTGTGACTTAGATGACGTTCAGAGCACATTTTATGCCCAATTCATGAAAAACTCCACATAATCCCAAGGGGTTCACATACTTTTTCTTGCAACTGTATATATAAATAAAACGGCCCTATATAAGTACCTGTAATTAAATTAAATAAATAAGATTAGTGTACTGTGGTTTCTTCACCCCTAGCTCTCTAAACCCCTTATGCAACTGAGGACAAAGGTAATTTGATAACTTAAAAAAAGGAATTTAGAATATTTATATACAGTACTGTGCAAAGGTATTGAGCGCATGTGAAATAATGCTGTAAACTAAGAATGCTTCCAGAAATAGAACTGCGAATAGTTTATTTTTATCAATTAACAAAGGAAAGTAAATGAACAGAAGAGAAATCCAAATCAAATCAATATTTGGTGTGGCCACCTCCTTTAAAACAGCATCAATTCTTCCATTTTTCTAGGTACACTTGCACACAAACTGCCTCTTGCTGCAGCCATATATTTCACATTTTGACTCATCAGTCCAGAGCACAAGGCAGTTTGTTTGCCGAAGGGCTGGACAGCGGTTCAATACTGCAGACAACAGTGAACAGGGACGGACTGACAACTCATGGGGCCCGGGGCAATAGAGGATCATGGGGCCCCTGTGTCCTTTCCCAAACTCAAAAAAGCCTATGAAAAAGGTACCAGGGGCATCTCATGGGGCCCCCTACTGACCCCAGGCCCTCGGGCAGTGCCCGAGTTTCCAAATGGTCAATCCGCCCCTGACAGTGAAGCATGGTGGAGGTTCCTTGCAAATGTGGAGCTGCATTTCTGCAAATGGTGTTGGAGATTTGGTCAAGATTAATGAGAGATGTACAGACAGGTACATCCATCATGCCATACCACCAGTGAGGTGTGATTGGCCACATATGTATTCTGGTGCAGGACAATGACCGCAAACATACATGTCATTAAAGCAGTATTAAATCCAAAAGCAAACATTTATTATGAATTGCAGTTTACCAATTCTTAAATGTGATGGTTGTATTGGTTTCATTTTTAGAATTTCTTTCTTCTATTTTCACCTGGTGATACAGCCAGCAAGTCTGCTGTGTTTCAGAAGCTCAAGTTCCAGCAGAATATATCCGTTTATATGGATGAGATTATCAATTTACCACTGGCAGGAATGATTAAAATTAGCTTTTATTTATTCATGTAAAACCTTTATCCTAAAAAGGAAAAAAAAAACTGTTTTCTGTCACTAAGTGTGAGCTGGAGTTTGGCTTCCATTTGTTACTGCATTCAAATTTGTTAATACATTTAACACTCCCATCCTCCGAAGACTGACAATGCTGCCATCTGCTGTGTCCTGGCTCATTCCTCCATGGTGGTGTCTTACCAATACAGGATGCATGTTACTGGCCAGATCACCAGGTGAAAACAGAGGGAAAAAGCCAAAGAAAAGAAAACTAGTGCAGCCACCACATCTGATGATTGGTAAGCTACAATATAATATAGTTTTGACATTGTGAATAATACATAAACTGCTGCTGAAAAAAAACAAAAAAAAAAAACTGCTCCCCCCGCAGGGTAAAGCCATAATGTACTAGTATGCACCGCATACTAGCACATAATGACAGACTTACCTGTGAAATGGTTCCCTCCAGTGGCGCCCTGTCACTGCTGACAAGGAATCCATTTTCACCTGGTCTTCTTCCAGGTTCGCTGACTGTGGCTGCTTGATTGCCCGTGTTATGACGACGTCACTCCCGTGCATGCACGCGGGAGTAACTGTTTACAGCTCAGGGCTCTGAAGGAACAGCACGAGTATGCTGTTCCTTCAGAGCTCATGCGCCAGTGACATCACTGTCAGTTACACAGGTAATATTTATGATACCTACAGGAAAGCCTTATTATATTAAAGATATATAATTTCAGAACTTTTCCCACCTTTAATGTGACCTGTGACTGTACAACTCAATTGAAAAACAAACTGAAGTCTTTTTTTTTTTTTGGGGGGGGTCACCATAAAAAAACTAAATAATGTGTTTGAATACTCTTATATCTGGAGATGTAGCTGTGTTCAGAATTAAGCAGTCACATTCAAAATCATGTTAAATCGGAGTCAGTACACACCTGCCATCATTTAAAGTGCTTCTGATTAACCCCAAATAAAGTTCAGCTGTTCTAGTAGGTCTTTCCTGACATTTTCTTAGTCGCATCCTACAGAAAAAGCCATGGTTTGCAGACAGCTTCCAAAGCATCAGAGGGATCTAATTGTTAAAAGGTATCAGTCAGGAGAAGGGTACAAAAGAATTTCCAAGGCATTATATATACCATGGAACACACTGAAGACAGTCATCATCAAGTGAAGAAAATATGCCGCAACAGTGACATTACCAAGAACTGGACGTCCCTCCAAAATTGATGAAAAGATGAGAAGAAAACTGGTCTGGGAGGCTGCCAAGAGGGCTACAGCAACATTAAAGGAGCTGCAGGAACATCTGGCAAGTACTGGCTGTGTGGTACATGAGACAACAATCTCCCGTATTCTTCATATGTCTGGGCTATGGGGTAGAGTGGCAAGACGGAAGCCTTTTGTTACAAAGAAAAACATCCAAGCCTGGCTAAATTTTGCAAAAAACACATCTGAAGTCTCCCAAATGTAAGAAAATGTGTTATGGTCTGATGAAACCAAGGTTGAACTTTTAGGCCATAAGATATGTTTGGTGCAAAAACAACACTGCAGATCACCTAAAGAACACCATACCCACAGTGAAGCATGGTGGGGGCAGCATCATGCTTTGGGGCTGTTTTTCTTCAGCTGGAACTGGGGCCTTAGTAAAGGTAGAGGGAATTATGAACAGTTCCAACTACCAGTCAATAATGGCACAAAACGTTCCTCTTCATGTTCAGCTTTCTAGTTGAAGCCTGAACTTCATCTTTCAGCATGACAACGACCCAAAGCATACATCCAAATCAACAAAGGACTGGCTTCATCAGAAGAAGAATCAAGTTTTGGAATGGCCTAGCCAGAGCCCAGACCTGAATCTGATTGAAAATCTGTTGGATGATCTCAAGAGGGTTGTGCACAGAAGATATCCTCGCAATCTGACAGATTTGGAGTGTTTTTGCAAGGAAGAGTGGGCAAATATTGCCAAGTCAAGATGTGCCGTGCTGATAGACTCATACCCAAAAAGACTGAGTGCTGGAATAAAATCAAACGGTGCTTCAACAAAGTATTAGTTTAAGAATGTGCACACTTATGCAACCATATTATTTTAGTTTTTTATTTTTACTTCCCTCCACCTAAAAGATTTCAGTTTTTTGTTCAGCAGAGTTGTAGTTTATAAGTTACATTAATGGTGGAAAAAGTTCTGAAACTATTTAGCTTTGTCTCGTTTTTTTACATCACAGAAACCTGACATTTTAACAGGGGTGTGTAGACTTTTTATATCCACTGTAGGTACAAAGCAAAAAAGGGAGGAGTTTACTCCCACTTTAAGAACTACCTACAGTGTAAAGAAGAACAAGGAGTCCTGGATGTGGTGGTTTAATCCCCACAGAGCCCTGATCTCAACATCATGGAGTCTGTCTGGGATTACATGAAGAGACAGAAGGATTTGAGGCAGCCTACATCCACAGATCTGTAGTTAGTTCTCCACGATGTTTGGAATAACCTACCTGCTGAGTTTCTTCAAAAACTGTGTGCAAGTCTACCTAGAAGAATTGATACTGTTTTGAAGGCAAAGGGCGGTCACACCAAATATTGATTTGACTTTCTCTTTTCTTCATTTACTTTTTTTTTTTTTTTGTGCTCGTTTTGTTAGTTGATAAAAGTAAAATATTACCATTTCTATTTCTGAAAACTTAGAACAGCCTAAAATTCTGACATGAACAGCATATTTTCACACCTGCCAAAACATCTGCACAGTACTGTATATTAAAGCACCTCATAATTTCTGGCACTATTTAAATGCCTGTAACAGATAATACAAATTGTATTGAGGCCCTCTCAATGCAACAGATCCATTATACCCGGCTTGTCATATACACGATTATGTGCAGGAAGATATCACACAATACCTTGGCTTTTTTAAGCAGACTGACCACACTTAGGCTTGACGATGACAGCTCTCTGCTTGGCATGCTCTGAAGCTGAGTGATGATATAATTTTCACATACATGTTGTAATCGAGACACCTGGTACATCTCAGAACAAATCATCAGTGACATGGCTTGTAGAATGCTGGCTGATAAAAGATTTAGAATTAGTGATAGTGTGGCTTCAGCTGCACATCACACCAGAAATAGGACATAACTTGTATATCAAATGTCTGAGCCAGTACTTGGTGAAACATAACCCCATCATAGAAAAATAATACAGTGCATGTGGCCTGGATATACTGATGATGACTAATATGTTATTAACATATGCAGCTCTAGTTGAAACTTTTTTCAAACTAAATTATCTGAGCCGGTCCTGAGAAAATGGAAACTTTAAAATTTAAAAAGTTAATCAAAAGTTCATATTATTTTGAAACTCATTAGACCATAACTAAGTTGTTTATATTGGAATGATAAATATCCCACATTCAGAAGAAATTCATTCTTTTTTGTTATAATGAAAGCTGTATAACTCATTATGCAGGTTTTGCATTATAATTGGATGTTGGTTGTTTGCAAATATACAGCTGCAATAGAAATTAGACACTAAAGTATATTTTTCAGTAAGTACCTTTTTTTAATAATGTTAACATTATACAGTATAGTTTTTGACAAAACATTCAGTTTTACTTGCTTGTTGTTCTGTATACAGACTGCACTTACACACACACATACTGTACAGTGGATATATGTATTAATGTATATGCAAATGCTCTCTCTAGTGGTCACCTGTATAGTGGCCATGATCTATATGCATATTTGTAAATGCTCCCTCTAGTGGTCACCTGTATAGTGGTCACCTGTATAGTGGCCATGATCTGTATGCAGATTTGTAAATGCTCCCTCTGGTGATCACCCGTATAGTGGCCATGATGTGTATGCAAATTTGTAAATGCTCCCCTAGTGATCACCCGTATAGTGGCCATGATGTGTATGCAGATTTGTAAATGCTCCCTCTGGTGATCACCCGTATAGTGGCCATGATGTGTATGCAGATTTGTAAATGCTCCCTCTGGTGATCACCCGTATAGTGGCCATGATGTGTATGCGGATTTGTAAATGCTCCCTCTAGTGGTCACCCGTATAGTGGCCATGATGTGTATGCAGATTTGTAAATGCTCCCTCTGGTGGTCACCTGTATAGTGGCCATTATGTGTATGCAAATTTGTAAATGCTCCCTCTAGTGGTCACCTGTATAGTGGCCATGATCTATATGCAGATTTGTAAATGCTCCCTCTAGTAGTCACCTGTATAGTGGCCATGATCTCTATGCAGATTTGTAAATGCTCCCTCTAGTGGTCACCTGTATAGTGGCCATGATGTGTATGCAGATTTGTAAATGCTCCCTCCAGTGGTCACCTGTATAGTGGCCATGATGTATTTGCAGATTTGTAAATGCTCCCTCTAGTGATCACCTGTATAGCTGGGCATAGAATTGATATTCTCAAAAACAAAAAATATAATATGAGGTACACTATATTGCAGAAAGTATTGAGACATGCCTCCAAATCATTGAATTCAGGTGTTCCAATCACCTCCATGGCCATAGGTGTATAAAATCAAGCACCTAGGCATGCAGACTGCTTCTACAAACATTCATAGTTTGACCCCCAGAAATGAATTCCTTATGGATGATGCCATCATTGTTGAAGAAGGCGATCCACATTGTCTTAACCTTGGACAGGTGACTCTTTTTGGGTCGCAGGGAAGATGGTGAACACCATTCCATTGATTGCCGCTTGAATTCTGGATCCTGGTTTGCACCAGTTGTAAATACATTTTCTGCTCACAGCTTCCGTCCCGTACACATGCACCAACATTTCACACATCTCTGTCGTGGTTTTCTCCAAGTTGTAGCAGAACTTGATGTTCACTTGTTCGCTCCATTTCACTGTGACCCTACTTCTCACAATGACTACATTTAACTGCCCGCAGTGGCTTTACCCTGATGGTCACATGTACTCTGCGCTAAGTACCGCTTCTTGATGCGTCTCTGGATAGCCATGTGCATGCATGCGAACCTGGTTCATGTTGCTGTTGAGATATCGGCCTAATCACCAACATTTTTAGACACCCCTTGTATATTGCAGCTTATCAGTCCTTAGATGTTGTGGTATTAGGGTTTGTTTACACTTGTGGTAAGGGGCCAGAAAAACAGGATGTTAAGCCCCAGTTTTACCTCCCCCTGACCACTGCACATAACACTGAAGCCGATTATAAACTGTAAATCGCTGCAACAAAAATCATACCCCTGATGCATTTGGAGGGCATTACCACTGCCAAAGCGACCATTCAAGCAAATGGGACCATGCTGCAACCTAAGTCAAATGCCAGGCTTGGGGTTACGGTGCAAGATTTGCATCCAAAAACCCTGTTCAGCTGTCAAAAAAAACTAGCAGTTAGAAGGCTGCAGTAACATATCTCAGCCACTCCTGTATCACTCTCTGAAAAGTGATCCAACACAAATCTCTTTTCAGAGACCAATGTGAGTGAACGCAAGCCCTTTGTTTCCTTTTTTGTTTTAGGCTTTTTCCTATTTATCTTCACCTGGTTTTAGATATGCTTTAAAGTGCAACCCCACACTGTGTACTTCACCCTCCCCATTCTTGTCAACATCCCGTATGTTTATTGCAGCTCTTGCAAACCCCCACTTCTAATACCACTCATACCCAAATTGATTGATGACTGCACTCAGCCATGCATGCCTCCTTCTCCCCTCTGGAAGTGCGCGGACCTGCTGAGCTGCCTCTCAAGCACTGAGCACTGCTTTGTGGGGGGGCAGGAGGTGCATGCATGTGTGCTTCATACCTGGAGGTGCACCAATGTTCATTGGCTCTGCACTGCAGACTGGAGTAGCTGACAGGTTTCTTTTGATGACTTTTCAGTTAAGCTCATTAGCCAGGCACATTGAATACTAATTAGGTCAAATAAAACCTGTCCTACCATGTGATCCTCCCAAGGGTGGCGTGCTTTAAATAGGCATTTTCTGACCTTTGAGATGCTTTAATAAAGGTAGTCAGAGGTACTCAATATTGTACATTGAGATATCCTTGTGACTGTGCTGCCAGTTCATCACTATTCTGCATAGAAGAGTAAAGGATCAAAGCACTACATTGCACCACTGTCACTGGATTGATTGGCAGATATTTCCCCTAGGAGAGATCCCCCTCTCTGGCCAGCCATAGACTTGTATAGAGAGAGAGGAGCAGTTAAGCACAATCACTAGGCAGTACTACTGAGCAATACGTAGAGCCTGCATACATAGATTTTGCTTACTATACAAAATTAGCAATTCTTGATATGGTTATGTACCATTTGAAGATCCACATGTTTATGTAATAAGATTTTAACAAGACTATGGTCATGATAAACTATTTTATTTGTTGGCGCACAGATGATGTGCACTTGAAATGTGTCAAATAAAGTGTTAATTAGGATTTGTGACATGCATCAGAGACTGGAAAATTTCAAATTGCGATTTGTCAAAGGAATATTGTAGTGCCTGCACCCTATAAACTAATATTTGCAGTACCATTTGACCTGGTCTCATCAGGCACAGATCTGTACATCATAATCATTCTCTCTGATAAGGGTCTGTATAGATGCTTTCTAGAGGGAGCCTGAGAGTGGAGGAGCTGCCTCCTTCCTCTGCATAGCTGAGTAGAGGGGAGAAGATAACTTGTGGGTTCCCTGTTATGAGGGTCCGAATGGACGCTCACCAGATGGGACAGGCAGCAGGCGGCTCTGTGCTGTCCTGCTGCCTGCTCTTCACTCTTGCCACAGTCATCATTTCCCGATCACAGGGGAGAGAGGTAAAAATCAATACAGGCAGATGCACAGTCCTGCACAGTGCCAGGTGTGAGTTGTTACCATGCAATATCCAATTCAAAAAAAGAACATTGGGAAACTGGAGAAAGTACAGAGAAGGGCAACTAAACTGATACGAGGCATGGAGGAGATCAGCTATGAGGAAAGATTAGAGGAACTGAATTTATTCTCTCTTGAGAAGAGGAGATTAAGGGGGGATATGATCAACATGTATAAATACATCAGTAATTCATATAGTGAACTCGGTGTAGAGTTATTCACCCTGAGGTCATTACAGAGGATAAGGGGGCACTCTTTACATCTGGAGGAAAAGAAATTTAATATCTCCAAACACGGAAAGGTTTCTTCACAGTAAGAGGTGTGAAAATGTGGAATAGACTCCCTCAAGAGTTGGTTCTGGCCAGCTCAGTGGATTGCTTTAAAAAAGGCCTGGATTCTTTCCTAGATAAGACGCGATTTCTCCTGCGCTCTAGGACCCAGGCGAGTGAGCTCTGATGAAGAAGGTATGGCCTTCGAAACGCGTCAGCTGTACCGAGTGTCTACCCCCATGATGGGATTCGCGCTGGCTCCTTATCTTTGAAGTCCCTTTGAGGACTTACATACCTGATTTTATTCGCTGTTTGTGAGTACCATTTTCTAATTAATACATTTTGGTTACTGAGGTAATGTGCAAGGTTGGTGCGCTTCTCGTTTTTGTTTCACTTTGCAGCGTTCTTTTCCTAGATACATGCATTTTTTTTTTTTTTACCCCCTAAAAAAAATTGGGAGGGGGGTCAATAAAAGTCCAAAAACATTTATTACAGTCTATTGTGCATGAACACATAGGATAACATGCTGGGGAGTTTACTGGCTGTAGAAAAAAAATGTCAAAAGCCAAAAAACAGCCGCTGTAAAAACATCCAGTGTGCATGAGGACTAATGGTTGAACTGGATGGACTTTTGTCTTTTTTTGGCCAGACTAGCTATATAACTACGTAATATGAACCTAACAGAAGTCACACATGGGCCTCTGTTTATTAAAGGCTGATGGACATGTAAAAGTGGAACTTTAGTCAGAAAATTAAGTCCTGCTAGATCACATCAGGATGGCCCCTTTTGCATAGCTATGTAAAATATTCAAAATAAGTTCCTATACTGTTTGAAATCCAATAATACACAATCTCATTTTGATCTGCACATGCTCAGTAGCCATCTATTTTTTGGCACTGTGCTGAAAATCAGAGCCACTAGAGGCAAATCTGCTGACAGCCTAAAGATTTACTGCTGCTTAGGGGCTCTGGGCTTCAGAAAAATTGCAGACTCTGGCATAAAGAAGCAGGAACAATGCTGTAGGCAATTTACAGCACCTAATTTTAATAGCATAATTAATGCAGAATGTATGTTCCTTGCTAAAGAACATTTTTTTTTATCAGGTTGTTTTGGATAAAGTTCTGCTTTAAGCATATTTTTACTTGAATTGTTTTACCTGAAATATGAAATAGAATAAAAATATGAATCAGATCTTGTTAGAAGAAAGGACGCTGCTCTATCCGCTCATGAAGTCTGGTCTATGGAATGGCCTCAGCCGTAGCGCCGGCTATGCCCACTGATGCGCCAGTAAGTTTCTTTTGTGTCAGCAATCAGATCGTGTTACTATAGTCAACATTTTCACTTTTTTACGAATCTAACCCACAGAGAAAATAGGATTAAATGCAGCTTACCAGGGCAATATGTATCTTTGTAAATATACTCCAGAAAAGCAAGGAATGTGTCTTTGGACATGTCATGAATAGGAATAACAATTCGATTTGCTTCAGAGTAACTTCCACTGAACATGGCTGACATAACCTCACAACGAGCCACCAGCACTGCTCGATGTGCTGGGATCTTTGAGTCTAAGATCAGATAAATACAGGTTAATGTTTATTTCACAAAAGGGGTTACTGAATTTTTCTAGCAAAGTAGAATGAACATGCACATGTACTACCAGGGGCGGACTGACCATTTGGACACTCAGGCACTGCCCAAGGGCCCTCAAATGCGAGTGGGTGATCATTATTAACAAATACAAATAGGTGCAGCGCTAAATAAACAATATAATATAGTATAATAAAAAGATATAAAATACATATAGATATAAAGTGCAAAGTCAATGAATCACCCTAAGGTGAAAGGTATGTCTCAAGGTAATGGAATAAAAAGCCACGTGGGGATCTGGTAGATCCTAGCGAGTGCGTGGGGAGTAAATCCAGTGAAGCAAACGATGAGTGTGAAATAAATGAAATGCACACTCCCCAGAAGTGCGTTAAAAAATGCATATGAGATTAGCCTGTCTCATCAGGTGTGATAATGGTCATCTGCTCCCAGGATAGGGTCAGGATCTAACACCATCTGGTCTTCTCTAGAGTGGGGTACTCCGAGGACCTTACTGCGTATCACCGTCTGGGGTCCCTTAAACCAGGCTCTGTGGGTGAAGGCTCTCAATGAAGAGAGCCCAATAAGGGACACCACATAGCGTGATACCGTAGATAACTGGTTTATTGTTTAAAAGTGTAGAAAATACAAATAAATAAATAATAGAAACTGACCATATAGAATTCAGGATGGCCACCAGCGGTGGTCAGACGTCCAGAAACTATAGCCCCCTCCGACGCGTTTCGTGCGATGCACATCATCATAGGATACTGGGCGAGCTATTCCAATGGACTCCCTCAAATGCGAGTGGGTGATCTTTATTACTTTTTTTTGTTTTTTACTGTGGGGTGTAGGGGAGTAGTTTTGTTTATTTCAATTAGTAATTTGTGTTTTTGGTTATACTTATTGCTCCAACTTGTGGAGGTGTATTAATATGTAGGTTTCAGAACCTTTTTCAGAACTGTATAAAGCCTGAAGGGACCTAAGAGGTCCCAAGAGCTTGCATCTTTAATAACTTGAGTGAGTCAATAACATGTATAACCTTAACTCCAAACTTTTTGCCAAGCCAAATGTAATAAGCAAAATTAACAAACGTCTGCTGACTTATAGCAGAATAATATGTTTCTTACCACAGATTTGGGCTGGACTGGGCAGCTAAATGTTCATGAGAAAACAGAGGGCCGGACCTAATGCAACCATGAATACAAACTACAATGGATTAAAGCAGATATGCAATGACGTCTAATTGTCTGCTTCAACAGACAGATGAAGGATGTTAAGACACAGCGTCATGTGGTCTAAACACAAAAATTGCAAAAGCAGTGCAATGGACACTAAGCACTAAATACAAAAAAAATAACACGCCGCACAGTTTATGGGTCTGTAAACTTAGGGATAAGGCCCTGGCAATACCAATAAAAAAAATATGAACATCACCCTTAGCTGTTAGTATATATCAACATCTGGATTTTAAAGGCTTGAAACTGGCAGGTGTGCACCACAAATCAGCCCTTTTCACAGATGACATTTTGTTGCACCTCACACCTCCACATATTTCTCTTCCCGAAACGAATGTCCCTTCTCTCGCATTTTTCTGAGCTCTCCGGCCTTCATGTGAACCAGTGAATGGGCACACATAGGCACTGCCCATGGGCCCCAGGTGCATTGGGGTCCCATGATCAGGGCTAGGACAAGGGGGAAACCAGGGTGCTGTGTTGGGGGGCCCTGGTGATTTTCCGCTTGTGCTGATCTTTTTGACAGGAGTGACTGTTCCACTGGTCAGAAGTAGCAGCTGGCTGGTGCTGGAGATAGGATTCAGTCCCGCACTGGGACTGAGAACTCATCTCAGTCTCAGCAGGGGAGCGGAAGGAGGAGCTGACTTCATTACAGGAGGGAACAGTACTTTGGATCTGTGAGTACAAGGTGTGAAAAGGGGCACAACTCTGATGGATGGGAACACTGTGATTGGGACACCTGATGTCAGGGGACACTGTGATAAGGACACGTTACATCAGGGGACACTGTTCTGGGGATATCTAATGAATGGGGACACCTGATGTCAGGGGACACTGTGGTGGGGACAATGATTGGATCACCTGATGTTAGGGGACACTGATCAGGACTCCTGATGTCAGGGGACACTGATTGGGACACCTGATGTCAGTTGACACTGATTGGGACACCTGATGTCAGGGGACACTGTGATGGGGACACCTGATGTACGGGGACACTGTTATTGGGACTCCTGGTGGATGGGGACACCTGATGTATGGGGGTACTGTGATTGGGACACCTGATGCAGACTGGTAGGAGACCCAGTGTATTACTTTGCCCAGGGGCCCATATTGTTATTAAGATGGTACTGTGTGAACCCATCTAAATCCACAGCAATGAATGTTGGTCTCCCTCCTGATAAACTTGATGTGATTCAAACAGTTCCCTTTCAGTGGACACGCACTCTTTCCTACCTGGGAATTTCAATCACCCCCTCATTATGACTCCCTATACTGTGCCAATATTCCCCCCACTACTCCAACATCTTCGCTGCACATTCTACTCTTGGAGTCATTATGTCGCTGTCGTGGTTTGGTCCAGCACATGCCATCAAAATGTCCTACTTTGCAAAGTTACTATATCCATTTCGTGTGCTCTTGATACGCATACCTCTCCATATACTTCAAATTCTGCAGGCACAAATCTTCAGATACGTATGTATTTGCAAATGTGTGCTAACTAAACCCCTGTTATAAACGCATACTGTTAGACAGGTTAATTCGGTTGTTAGCAAGCTGGCTGGCAAGTTGTCCAAGAACATTGTTCTCTCCCTCTTTTTTCACTATGTGATGCCTGTTTATGTGTCCTTGCTTCATAAGCCAGTTATAGACTTGGGCGGGTGGCCACTTTTATGCATGTTTGATTTTTTGGTACGTGGGTGCACTAGGACCCTGGTTGCCATTGTGCTACATGCTGGGGTCCAGTGCACTCCTTTTTGCCTTTAAGAGGGGTGGCTCCCTCAGGTCCACCTGCCCTTGATCTATCCATTAAATGCATGTGCCTCTACTATGGGGACTCACAAATTTTAGAGTTAGGACCCACAGATGATCAGGGTGCCGTGTCGTGGCTCTGTGGCTTACGTATGTATTTGCAAATGTGTGCTAACTAAACCCCTGTTATAAACGCATACTGTTAGACAGGTTAATTCGGTTGTTAGCAAGCTGGCTGGCAAGTTGTCCAAGAACATTGTTCTCTCCCTCTTTTTTCACTATGTGATGCCTGTTTATGTGTCCTTGCTTCATAAGCCAGTTATAGACTTGGGCGGGTGGCCACTTTTATACAAATCTTCAACTTCCCCTGGGACTCAGCGGTTCCCCATCTGAATCGTCAATTGCTGTACTGTTCCCCTATCCGTGGGGGCCTCGGAGTACCTCATGTCCAACATTATTACCAAGCAGCTCAGATTACATTGTTGCTTAAATTTCTCTCAAAATCATATTTGGCTCTCTGGGCTATGATTGATACCATGGATGCAAATCTCATCCCTTTGACCTCTCTCATCTGGCACCCACACTCCTCACATCCAGAACCGCTTAAGCCTATTCTTGTGCATACACTATCTGTTTGGGACTCCATTAAATACTCTGCAGGCTTGCTAGCCCCCACCCCCATTACAACTCCTTCGCCTTTTTGGCTGTTGCCTCCGGGCATGACCGATAAAGTCGTGTTTAGCTGGTGGTCCCATGGTCTAGTGACTGTCCATTCTATGTTCACACTCAAGGGCATCCAGACTTTGGATGGACTATGGGACTCTTCCCACGAGCAAGTTTTTTCGCTACATCCTGCTACTTTCTTGTGTCATTAATCTGGAATCTTACTTTCCCAAGCACTCTTACAGGCTTCAAATCCCTTTGCAAATCTTCAGTGACCACCAAAGGAGCACTGTTCTTGATCTACATGTCTATTCGAGGGTACATTTCTGATAACTCGCCATCCTGCTGTGCTTATTGGGAACAAGAATTAAAGGAGACCCTCCCGGTGGAGCTTTGGGCATCGATTTGTCAAGCAGTCTCAAAATACTCTCGTGACATCCAAGCTCTCGAAAATTCCTACAAGGTCCTTCACCCGCTAGTCTTTCATGCCCACACGCATTGCTAAATATGTCCCTGACTGCAAATCATCTTACTTTTGTGGCTGCGGGTTTGACAGTGACATGTTCCACATGTGTTGGTTCTGTCCAGTGGCGCATCGCCTATGAATTAGGGTCTATAATATGGTCCTATCACTCACACAACTTAATGTTAAGAGAAACCCTTGGGAAGCTCTACTCCACAGACCAATAAAAGATTTGCTTCGACGGTCTTGTGTAGAGATGAGCGAATCAAACCAGGCGAAGTGGAATTCGATTCGAATTTCAGGAAAAATTTGATTCGCGTCGAATCCGAATATTAGCCTACTTCGGGTGCGCGAATCGGATTTTTCCCGATCAGCCGGCAAAAGTGTCCCTGCAGAGAGCTCCGCTATTTCTGACAGTTCTCTGACAGTTCCTTCACATGTACAGCGGTTGAAACATTGTATCTATTTGTTTCCATTTAGGATACAGATGTTTTTATTCGGAAACAGATACAATGTTTCAACCGCTGTAAATGTGAAAGTCAGAGAACTGTCAGAAATAGAGGAACTCTGCAGATACACTTTTTGCCGGTTTGGAATTATTCTTATTTTCATCCTACTTCTTCTTCTTCTTCATCATCTCAGAAGAAGAAGAAGAGGATGAGGATGAGGAAGAAGAAGAAGAAGAAGTAGGATGAAAATAAGAAGAATTCCAAGCCGGCAAAAAGTGTATCTGCAGAGCTCCTCTAAGTGTATCTGCAGAATAGAGGACTCTTAGAATAGAGACTCTTGTGCCTTGATCCCCCTCATTTTTTTATACCTACTAAGTAAACCATAGCCATGCATGGAAATCCCCTACTCTTAGTTTTGAAGAGGTTAATTCTAGAAAACAAGGTATTTTTTATTAATGAGAAGTTCACCACAATCTTGGAGGACAAACATGACAGATTCCTCTCTACCTAGCAGTCCTGGCTTGATTACCATCCAGTCTCTTGTTTTACCACACGGTGGTTTCACTTGTGACTCGAGCACACACTAGACTAGTCCCCCAGCCTTGTCCTACTTTTCATCAAGAAGACTGCTCTTCTCCATCGAAAAGTTCCTTTTTCTTCTCCCCTGCCTATTTATCCCCGTCTCTTTTTCCTCCTGGTCCTCAGGGTCCATTCCCTGCTTTCTCTTGTTTGAGGGTCACTTCTCTCCTGTTACACCTTTTCACCTACACAGCCCCCTTTTATGCCACTTGTTTGTTGGCTAACTTCCTGGGCCAACCTATTAGCATGTGTCATATGTGTTTTTTGATTGACCACACTGGGTTGTCCTGCAACTCATATCTGCCCCTATGCCCCTAGGGATCAGGCCCTCCCTCAATTCTACATCCTTCTCAATTGCCTATGTCTAATTGTTTTTGTACGATCTCATCCACCCCTGCATGGGTTTGCTTTCCCGGTTTTGTTTTTGGCCTGGTGAGTCAAAAATGGTGTGATATGTGTCTGTCCCTATCCACATATGTATCGAATTGTTTCTTTTTAATAAAATCTTTTTTTCTTTTCTTTTTTTCATTTCCCAAAGAATAGCTCCAAGTGGTCACCACTAAGCCTGACAATACAGAATTCTTTACACCTTCAAAGGAGTGTAAAAAATTATTTAAAATTAAAGAATGAGCTTTATCAAGTCAAAGACACATCTCTAGAAAAAAAAAAAAAAAAACACAAACTCCCACATAATTTGACTGAACTCACTTTAGGTTAATGCTGTTAACTTGATGGCCTGCCATTCAATATATTATATATAGAAAAATGTTAGCAACAGATCACCCTACTGCATATGTTTCAGGATTCCTTCTAAAGAGGAGTATTTCAGACCTCTCCATGTGAAGCAACTATTGTGTTCCTTCCTAAGCATGATAAAAATGATTTAGCTGATATATAATATTTATATCTAGCATGTTTAGTTGTTGTTAATGTAATTATCCTACTCATTCAGCTAACCAGGGGAGCTTTCACATTGGTCTATCTAGATGAAGTGATGACATTTGATTATATTGAGTAGCCTTTCTTCAGGTTATCTGGAACACACAGGAGTTGGTCAACAAGTCCTTAATGCGATTCTAAAGGTTAATTTTGTTTGGTGGAAAATAACAAACATGTCTATACTTACCTGCTGTGTGCAGTGATTTTACACAGAGCATCTTGGATCCTCCTCCTCTCCGGTCCCCCTTAGGCTCTCCTGGCCCCTCCCTCCTGTCAGATGCCCCCCACAGCGAGCAGCTTGCTATGGAGGCACCCGCTGCTCCGTGTGTCCATTCACACAAGGAGCCGTAGCTTGGCCCCGCCCCCTCTCTCGCCTCATTGGTTGACTGGCTGTGATTGACAGCAGTGGGAGCCAATGGCTCCCTATTGCTGCCTCAGCCAATGAGGAGGCAAAGACCCGGGACAGCCGAGGCTGGATTGCGATGAGGCTCAGGTAAATATTGGAGAGGCTGGGGGCACTGCTGCACACAGGTTTTTTACCTTCATACATAGAATACATGACGTTAAAAAATTTTGAGCCTTTACAACCACTTTAAATCTTAAGTTTAGCTAAGATCATAAACAGAAATCAGCACAAGGGACATACTGTTAGTATGATTTGTCCCTTGTACTGATTTTTTTTTTCTTTTAATGGAATCTTCCTCTGTCATTGAATTACATGGGATCTCTGGTTGGGGTTTGGGAGGTTGATTGATAACTTCACCCCTTCTATTCATAGAATCTGTGTCACTCATAGAAGCTGTAATATGGCTTCTATGAATGGCGGGTCTGGTAGGAAAGGGCGGACATCTCTTCATGAGAGCTCCTGACAGCCCTTAAAGTGTTACTAAACCCACAACAGTAAATTTAGTCTGTATATGCAGTAAAGTATGCTTGTTACAGTGCCTTGAAAAATAATTCATACCCAGGGGTGGACTGACCATTTGGGAACTCAGGCACTGCCCGAGGGCCTGGGTCAGTAGGGGGCCCCATGAGATTCCCCTGGTACCTTTCATAGGCTTTTTTGGGTGTGGTTTGAGTGTGGGCAAGGACACAGGGGCCCCATGATCCCCTATTTCCCAGGGCCCCATGAGTTGTCAGTCCACCCCTGTTCATACCCCTTGAAATTTTCCACATTTTGTCATGTTACAACCAAAAACGTGATAGACCAACACAAAGTGGCACATAATTGTGAAGTGGAAGGAAAATGATAAATGGTTTTCAAAATGTTTAACAAATAAATATGTGAAAAGTGTGACATGCATTTGTATTCAGCCCCCATACCCCTAATTAAATCTAGTGGAACCAAATGTCTTCAGAAGTCACCTAATTAGTAAATAGAGTCCATCTGTGTGTAATTTAATCTTCATATAAATACAGCTGTTCTGTGAAGCCATCAGAGAAAAATTTCAAGGGGGATGAATACTTTTTCAAGGCACTGTACCTGCAAGGCAATGGGGCCACCCTTATAGTCAGATGTGAATTACATTCCTCTTCAAAAGTTGATTATTCTAGACACAGAAGCTGAACATAACTAAAAGTCTGGAAACAAGCTTCAACATAAGGTATGGAAAGGTATCATTTTCAACGTAAGGGTTTAATAAACACAGTAAGGGTTAGGTCCAAGGTCAAGCACTACTTACCTTCCAGGTTGAATGACTACCAGGATAATCCCAAGGGGTATGAATACTTTTTCAAGGCACTGTATATTCACTGTGGAACCTAAGGGGTTAATTGTGTATAAAGGCTGTTTGATCCTATCTTTTCTGATCGTATGCTTCTTCTACTGTCTACAATCCTTCTGATGATAGTACAGAGCTCTTGGAGTCACTCTGCACATGCTCAGTTTAGAGAATCAGCACTAGAGATGCATCATACTAAATGTAAGTTATGTTAGTCCTTCGTACTGATATTTATGTTTTTGATTTCAGCTAGTTAGGCTTTAAAATAGACCAACATTTATTTAATTCCTAGTCTCCAAAATATTGGTGAATGATAGGGTCCGCTGGTCAGCTTGTGTGCATGCAAGAAAACAAATGCAGTCAACAAATCTATCAAAGCAAACTGCAATATATTACATTTTTGTTTTTGGGTTTAGATACAGTATGCTTTAACAAGCTGACTCATTTCTATTTTATTCACCAACTTAACCAACTCGCCTGAAGAAAATGGGTCAGTAACTATCCACTTACTGCCTCTGATGCCTTCAGTAGGGAGTGGACTTTGGACAGTTGATATGGAGGTATACCAAATAAATGACCAGGAGTAGTTACCCAATATTTATATATTTTTATATGTGAAGCCCTGTTTATGATGAATCAGACTAAAGTTAATTAATCTGAGAATTATTCAACTCTATAAACCTAAAAGGTGTTGTGACAGACTCAAAACTCAGAATTAGGTTTTATGTAGTACTGAACAAGATCATCTCACTGCTCCCTGTTTTACATTTACATAGAATTAACCTATCTCTGCATCCCCTCCCCATTTTATATCTCACTGTATTATCACTGGCAATACGAAGAACAGATTGTGAGACAGAAACAAAACTCTAGGCAGCAACTGTGAAGTAATTGCAGACCTTCCTATGCATCTACAGCATGCCTCTCCAAACTTTCTAAACAAAGAGCCAGTTTCCTGCCCCTCAGATGTTACACCATCTTTAGTATTATGGGAAATAATAGTAATCTATAATAGTAATCTATCATTGGTGTTAGTGGGAGGAAGAGTGTCCCATATTTGGTATTGGAGGAAGGAATAGCACCCCATTGTAGGTGTCAGTGGAAGTAATTATGCTCCATTGTTGGTGTCAGTGGGAGGAATAGTGTCTCCTACCAGTTCAAGGACCAATGCCCCAAGAGTCGGATTAAGGCAAGAAAAGAGCCACATCTGGCCCTTGGGCCGCAGTTTGGAGACCAATGACCTACAGAATCAGATACTATCTGCTGAAGTGATATAGAACTAAAAGGTTTAGTTGTGTGCAATAGGCTCCCCCAGGCAAAACCTAACTATCCAAACTGCAATCCTTCAGGCGGTACTATTTTATATACTACTAAAAACTATTTGTTTTTATAGTACTTATATAGAGATTACTAAACTGTAGAATAATAATTTTATGCCTATGTAATCGCTGTCTACTTAATTAATTTTATAGCCATACAGTGCTGGGCCCCATAGTACAGTAGATGCATGGTCTACTATGGCCTAATAATTGAGGCCTGCAATGTGGTGGGAAAGATGGCTTGTGCTGGGTTATGCCAGGAAAAGCGTGTCTCCATTGCTCCACAGTGGTGTTACCTAATGCAATCGATTTAAAGAGAGCAGTGTTCCTTTGTAAATATATATCTTTTTTTGTTTAAATATAACAAAGAAGCCAACAATTCTCATTGCAGGAAATATTTTTTCTGGCCAATATGACTTCAATAGATTCAACACTGAATATATTGCACATGGTCATACACAGAATGTGGCACCTCCTACAGAAGTTGCACAGTACCTTGTACTTGGAAGATCACATCCGCCAATAATGGGTTGTTAAAAAACTGTCCAAGAGACTCGCAGAGCTGAAGTGGATCCTTACAATGGGGAAAAGACTCATCTGTTGAAGATCTTACCTATAAAAAAGGAAAATAGTACCCTTTTCATAACTGTAGAATGGTGGCCACAGAGAGATAAACTCTAGTTAAAACATTGAAAATGAGAAATATTACTCAAAGAGAAACAATATATGGTTTTGGGTCAATTTATTGTTTTTGTTTGTAAAATTGTAAATTGATGTTCTATATTTTGTTTACTATATCTATACAATCTTTGCTTTACAAATATTTAGCTTTTCTTGTGGATGTGATTTAACCAAATCTATACATTAGTGCATTCTAAAATGCATGATTGTTGTTCTGCTGGCCAATGCAGAATCTAAGTGATGTTATTGTACAGGATGATACTGGCCAAACTGTTAATGCTAACGTCCAGCTGTCCATTTATGCCACCACAAGCCATTAGCACAGAAGGAGCACTACACACAAGGGTTACAACTTCATCAACCTAAGGCCATCTCCAGCATATTAAATTAAGAAATGCTGATAATGTCAACTGAATGCTCAGTAAAGATCTGCAGGCATTTCTACATTCACTAGATCATGATCTACTGTTTCCAGATATCAATTGTGTTTGTTAGCAGTTCTAAAATAAAGCTTGGTACACAAAAGTAGTTTTTATTTGTTTGTTCAACCCAGCGGACTGAACAAAAAAACTAAGCGATCACTGTACTAACACAAGCGATGTTAGTGCAGCATTCTTCCCTGTATGTGTTCTGGCAGAGAGGAATGCCCCAAACAAACTGATGGGCTTTTAGCATGCCTATTTGCCAGAAGACCAGCTTCTGTCAGACAGGCAGCTGTACATACGAGCCAAAAGTCGGAGGGTCTCTGCTGAATCAACTGATTTCGGCTGATATTCAGCTCATGTGTACCCGACTTAAGTCTCTGTTAGATTTTCTTAAATAAACATAGTTCAAGTTTCATAAAAATAAAGTAGCTAATATTAATATTTTTAGAATTAAATCAGGGTATATTGTATGTAGATCTAATATTAGAGGCTCAAACTAAAACATATTAATCATTTATATTAAAAGCTATAAACAAACCTCAAATTCTAAGTGTGGTCATACATAGCCTGACAATATTAAGTGCAGTGACAGATTCAGTCATCAGCTGTGACAGCTGGACTATATGGGGTTTAATTGGACAGGTATCAATGATCTCTTCCAAATGTCAGAAGTGAGAGCTATTGCCAAATACTTGGAAACATCTCAGTGTGACTGTTGCCTTTCTGGACAACTCTGTTGGAAATTTCAGTCAGACAGGCAAATAAAAAAACAAACAAACAATGATAACAGTTAGGCTTCTACAACTACACTTTCTGCATGTAGTGCTCCAAGAAATCAGTATTAAAATCAGCCTTTTCAATATGGAGGACCTTTCTGGTGAACACCTGGTCAAAGTTATTTTACCTACAACTGTGTGATGGTTAGTGATAAGAATGTTCCATACATTTGTTATCATTGGGAAGAATTACCCCTGTACAGATAACTAAAAAGATCAATGGTGTCATCGGGAACTTATCTGAGAGCCAGGAATTGCTTATTGATCAAGGAACCCCGAGCAACCTTTGGAGGAACACTGGTTGAGAAACCCTGTTTTAAAATGTTAATTAGTGTAGCAAAGATTCTATAGAAATAAAACCTATGTGGTTCATGTCCAAAGTAAAAGAAGCTATTTGATAGGTACAAAATACGTAAAAATTAAATCAAGGCCATAAACATTCAAAATGAACAACAGGTTGCAAAAGAGAGTAGGACAAAGTGGCAAAAATACATTAATATTAAAATGATCTGGTCTGAGTATGTATGCCCTTTACAAGAATTTAGATTTGGTGACAGGGGACAAAGGAGGCACACTTATTAACTACCTTTTTCAGCTCTGTGTAAAACAAAGGAAACCATGGGACCTATCCATAATAGGAAAGTCTTTACCAAGTAACTACAGACCGGTTTGTTTAATTTCCATAGTCAGAAGATATTGAGAGTTTGATAAATACCACATACAAGAGTTTTTGCTTGAAAACAATATTGTAATCATTAAACAGCAATGATTCATGAAAAACCAATCATGTCAAACAAATCTGCCTTCTTTTTATGCGGAAGTAAGCAAAAACTTAAGACAAAGGAGAGACTGTGGTGTCAGGGTATTTCAGATATAAAATTATCAGAGGCATGAATATCAATAAGATCTGCAGTCTAACTTCATAGCTACTTAGCATTTCAAGTGTTTACTAGTCTCAGAACTGAAAGACCCCGAGGGATTGATTTTCAAGACACTTAGAGAAGCTTATTGGCACTTCAAACAAACCAAGACAATCCTCACCCTCTAGTAAACAATGAGTTAGATTTGCTATTCAACCAACACCTTAGTAAAAAAAAATCCTCTCTAAATTGAAACTTATTCAAACACATGAACATTGTTAAAAGAAAAGACAAATTATAAATCTTCAGTTTGTCAGATATTAACAGACGTAAAGACCAACCAGTTTTATAATTTGAGATATCCAAATTCTATGCATCACTATATCTCTAGCCCAACAAGAAACAAAACTTTTTTCTATGCTCATCATAATATCAGCTACTCCCATTGTCTCAGTCTACAAGACTGATAAACTGAGTTTGCACCCCACAAATCATTGACAGAGTGATCTGGATTTGGTGAGAGGCTAAATTTGGGTGAACTGAATTGATTCTGCTATTCTGACTGACTATGAACAATTTCAGAAAAAAAACAGAACAGAAAACTCCTGGACCCCATTGGAATCAGGAAAAAAACTGTAAAGTGTTCAAACGCTTTCCAATGTACTTATCTGCAGTGCATCACACTGTATGAAGGACTGAGTCATGTGAAGAATCATTTTATCAAATATATGTATTATTGTAGCATCCAAAAATGGGAAACTATTATGATTTAATTGTATGAATGATTCAGAAATGAGAACGGAAATGATGATGCGATACATACTAAAATGTCCTTTGAGGGTCAAAAATTCTTACCTCAATATTGATATTTTGATCAATCATGCATCATTGGCAAATATTCCATGATTAAAATGATAAAACATTAAAGATATAAAACCAAAAGTAATATTATCCACACCAGGGACCTCATACATACTGTTATGAGGGTAACATATCTGGAATTAACCACTTGCGTGGTCATGCAACACTGTACCCAAATTAAATTTGCGTCCTTTTTTTCCCCACAACTAGAGCTTTCTTTTGGTGGTATTTTATTGCCTGTGCTGACACAGATGTCTATGCAAATTGCAACGAAACGTAGTGCATGTACTACTTTAGAAATCGGTGCTGCTCCGACCGCACCGATATGACTGCTGTAATTATAGGGTGCGACTTGGCATGTGATTTTTAAGTCGCAAGGCATGCAATTCGTATGCCAATGTGCATCCAGCGTGACTGGAGACTTAGTGTAAATCATATTCAAAGAAGTCATCTACACGTCAGGAAAGTAATTAAGCCGAGCTGTGCCAGCGTAGCTAGTAGTATAGACTCAATCCTTGAATTCTGCTGCAGAGAATTCAAGGGGAGGGAATGACTGGGGTGGACCTTGTTGTCTACTAGCATAGTCCAAATTACTGGTATTCTGAGAACGGGGAGGCTTTACCTACTGAATGAAAATAGGAAATCCAATTTTTCCTAAAGTTCCTAGGCCCCAATAGATGAAGTTGAGTGCATGTGCTCAGCCTCATATCCAAAAGGTTGCGTTTAGGAAAAAGACGTATGAGTGCTGCCAGCATTGCTGCAGAGGTTGAAGGGGTGGGTGGTCAGCCTGTCAGTGCTCAGACCATACGCCACACACTGCATCAAATTGGTCTGCATGGCTGTCGTCCCAGAAGTAAGCCTCTTCTAAAGATGATGCACAAGAAAGCCTGCAAAAAGTTTCCTGAAGACAAGTAGGCTAAGGACATGGATTACTGGAACCATGTCCTGTGGTCTGATGAGACCAAGATAAACTTATTTGGTTCAGATGGTGTCAAGCATGTGTGACGGCAACCAGGTGAGAAGTACAAAGACAAGTGTGTCTTGTCTACAGTCAAGCATGGTGGTGGGAGTGTCATGGTCTGGGGCTGCATGAGTGCTGCTGGGGCACTGGGGAGCTACAGTTCATTGAGGGAACCATGAATGCAAACATGTACTGTGACATACTGAAGCAGAGCATGATCCCCTCCCTTCAGAGACTGGGCCGCAGGGCAGTATTCCAACATGATAATGACCCCAAACACACCTCCAAGATGACCACTGCCTTGCTAAAGAAGCTGAGGGTAAAGATGATGGACTGGCCAAGCATGTCTCCAGACCTAAACCTTATTGAGCATCTGTGGGGCATCCTCAAAACGGAAGGTGGAGGAGCGCAAGGTCTCTAACATCCACCAGCTCCGTGATGTCATCATGGAGGAGTGAAAGAGGACTCCAGTGGCAACCTTTTAAGCTCTGGTGAACTCCATGCCCAAGAGGGTTAAGGCAGTGCTGGAAAATAATGGTGGCCACACAAAATATTGACACTTTGGGCCCAATTTGGACATTTTCACTTAGGGGTGTTCTCACTTTTGTTGCCAGCGGTTTAGACATGAATGGCTGTGTGTTGAGTTATTTTGAGGGGACAGCAAATTTACACTGTTATACAAGCTGTACACTCACTACTTTACATTGTAGCAAAGTGTCATTTCTTCAGTGTTGTCACATGAAAAGATATAATAAAATATTTACAAAAATGTGAGGGGTGTACTCACTTCTGTGAGATACTGTAGGCTTTGACAGGAAAAAAAACAAACTAGAAGCTGGTTTCTATACAGAGCTGCACCAGTGTTTTCACTCACTAGATTTAGTAAAGCAACCCCTATACCTGTAACCTCTAAAAATGAAAAGACGTCTTCACAGTAAAAACTGCCTCAAGAATCAGTTCTGGCCAGCTCCGTAGATTGTTTTAAAAAACAGCTGGATGCATTCCTTAATAAATGGATGTAATCATTTCATTTCAGAAGAATTTCCAAAATTCTTTTGATGTACAGAGCAGGAAGGAGCGTTACAAAACAGATCTGCTCTGGGTGTCAAAGACTCTAAATAAACCACATTCTTAAGTCTTTTATATGAAACCTTCTACTACTTATTGATCAAACGAATTTACTACGAGTTGTAGGTAAAGTGTTTTTTTTTTTTTTTGGAAGGTTTCCCTGAGATTTTAAAATTATTTTAAAAGATTCCTATTTAGACCTTTTGGGATGTTTCTTATTGAGGCTAAAGGGGGGCACACCAGAAATGTGAGAAACACACAGTATTTGAGATAAAATAAATAGAGTTTCACATCTTAGTACAGCATGAAGAAGAGGTATTCTCGTCCCCGGAAATGCCAATGATTCTTGTTTTCAGTGCTTTAAACACATAGAAAGTACTTAAATGTGAATGTCTTTTAAGGTTTTAAAACGGAAAAACATCTAAAAAGAGAATTACCATGTTTTAGCCCCCATTAAACTTCTCCCAAATATTAGGTCTTATAGACCGTACTGAGTTAAACTATAGTTTTTACAACCATTTTTGTCAAGTAAGTGTAGCCAGGTGCATGTCTAGGAGTGAAGAATGAGAGAAACACTGGCTGAAGCTATGGTAGGGTTAGGGTGGGGCAACCTGTAGCCCTCCTGCTGTTGCAAAACCAGTCCCATCATCAGAGTCAGTGCTAGACTATTTTGTGCCCTGGGCAAGATCAGCTATTTGCATCCCCCCCCCCAATAAATAAAAAATAAATACATTTAAAAACATTAGAAAATATTAAATCAACAAAACATGAAACTGATGAATTTCTTTTAATTTGCAAAAAGAAATGCCATAGGATACCACCAGCATCAATATTTAAGACAAAATCAGTGGCATGGATGGACTGCATCTGTAGCTTGCAGTGACAGAGTGACAGTTGCAGTGAATGGAGGATGATGGATCCACACTCTGACAGATCCCAGGCTGGAATTCCCAAGGCAATGGGGGGGGGGAGATAAAATGCTGTGACAGCAGGCAACCCAACACACACACACACACACACACACACACACACACACACACACACACACACACACACACACACTGAACTGAGCGATCCCACACAGTGACAGATCCGACACAACACACCATCAACACTGACAAAGATCAGCAGGCCCAGCAGGCACTAGAAGAGCAGGTTATGATGATGTCATCAATCACTGACACATTGCACATGTGATGGATGGCCAGCAGGGTCACACTCACACAGACATGAGACATCAGAGTCAGACATTACCTTCCTCTGCAGGCACACTTCTGTCTCCATTGATGAGTGGGAAGAGAAGGGCTTGAACTCCACAGTGACCAGCAACTGCCAGCTGGCTTGCATTTAGGGACTGAGTCTAAGGGGAATACTGGAAGGAGCGGCAGCTCAGCTGCTACACTGGCCCTAGACACCCAGCATCTTCCTCTGTCCTTTCTTCCTTCCATCTGTCGCCAATCCTCTCAGCTGAAGGATCATTCATTATTTGGTGGCATCCCACACAGAGAATGCTGGCCTGTGCTGTGTCCAGGTGCCCCTAGGTGGCAGAGTGCCCTACGCAGCCACCTAGTTTTCATGGTGGAAGCACCAGCCCTGCCCATCATTCTTCTGCTTCTGATTCATGATTGCAATTGTCAGTCTTGAAATACCTCATGTAGTTCCACAACACCTGGAGGGCCGCAGATTGCCCACCCCTTCTCTATGGTATTCTACTCTGCTATTTGCCTTGCAGCTACATAAAAGTTTATGTAGGGAGTTGAAGGGAGGGGTGGAGATGCTGGGTCAGCATAGGCAGAAGTTCAACACTCACAGAAAAGTAGAGGGCTATGACATGAAGGAGAGAAGGGACTGTGCTAGAGAATAAAGAAGGAGGCAGAAGACCACAGAAAGAAACAATATCATGTAAAATAGATTACACTATCACTAAGCAGTGGATGTGTATGGATTACTTTTAGAGAATAAGGATATGGTGTAATATGACTTTAAATTGATGACAGGGTGTCTTTAAAAGTTGTAGCAAATATAATGATTTGCAAAATTTGGTGAAACCTACGCAAAAGAATATCATTTTGATGATGTCCAAGTATAGACTGGTGTGTATGGAATGTCCACATCCCTATGGAAGACCATTTTCCCATCTTTCAAATCAAATTACAATTACCATTTTTAAAATTACAATAAAAGGTAGAATGAGGACATATACCAATTTGTTTTTCCTAGAAAGGTTAACTGTATGCAGATTTTTTCATTTGTCCCACACTGTTTCAATACAGGACTCTGCCAATGAAGGTAGAATGAGGACATATACATATCTTTTGTTAATTGCTACAATTTGTAGATTAACAATTATACATATTATATCACCAATTATAGCCATTGTATTTAATAAAGGGGGCCTACTATCTTATTAGCAATGACAATGTATTTATTTTGTACACAGTTTTATGTGCATTGTTTCTGCATGCTACACTGTTCCTGTACAGCATAGCCCCTTAGCCTGGGTTCACATATATGCGGTGCGGTATATCGCTTGTGATTCGCACAGGAACCGCACCGCACCGCATTCCTGTGCACGTCACATGCGATTTGTGTGTGGTGCAATTGGAGCCATACGTATTGTAAGGCTCTGTTCACACCGCATCCACACCAAAAAGCTGCAGGACCCTTTTTTGGGTCCACACTAGAATCGGATCGCATGGGTATTCACACCTATGCGATTCGATTCTGAACATCACACCGCGTTTTGCGGACCGATTTCGGGGTGTTGTTAACTTAACATACACACCCTCAGTGGTTCGCATGAACAGGGTGCGATTCTGATGCAGTGTGGAATTCGCACAGAAAACGCTGCAAATTCTGCACTGCATCAGTGTGAACCATGGCTTAATGAAATGGTAAAAACAAATGTTTTTTTATCCAAGCACTAGAAGACTGAGCAAGACAGAAGTTGGAATTTAATAGAGAAGCATTTCTAGAAAAACATTTAATTCTTCCAAGTTTCTGTGGTGCCATCTCAATCATGATGAAAAGAAGAATCCATTAAAATGATCAGATATTTGTTCCTGTTGGTGCTCCGCTTTACAGTGGGGGACACCTCAGGCGACCTTTGCTCTCTTGAATAACTGCCTTAATGTTCCCTCTGCCTTAAAGCTACAGGGAGCAGGGTTTACTCCCAACCCTCCTCCCTTCGCTCTTGTATGATATGTCTAAATGTCTTTATGTATTGGAAACTTATGAGTAATTATTTGGTAACGGAATGTTACATATCAATGCCTTTTTCTATGTAAACATTAAAAATTTTAATAAAAAATAAAGTGAGAAAAAAAAAAAAGATCAGATATTACATACCTGGCTTGGTTTCTTAACCACACATTGTACTAGGCGGAAGACATGTTCCACTTTTTCTCCATCTTTCAGTTTTTCTTTAATCTGTTGTTCCAGCAGTTCCCACTTAGATGCGCCTTTATGAAGAAAATAAATTATAAAACTGCAAGACAGTTTGAAAAGTTGATTTGTTAATATTCAGGTGACATGGTTTCTTATTACTGTGGACATTTGAACTTTTGCCAACCTGTGCTAGTTATGAAATGACCAAGACAGTGGACACTGTGACAATAGACACTATAATGTAGCAGATTTTCCTGACACCAGAGCTCCCCAATATACATGGACATCCACACAGAGAGTGGCCACCCTACCATGTGACCTACTCTATGTGACCATCACCAGGCCTTAGCACTATCATGTCCCGAAATGGGCAATGACCCTCTACAGGTCTGAGACCATGACAGTGTACCATCGCTGTGAGTTGCCATCATGCACTGCAACCCTGGGGTGCCCAGTGTCCACTAGTTTTGTGCATTGAGGTGTCAAAATGGATGGCACAGCAACATAGTTACATAGGCAAGGTTGCATTGCAAGAAAAAATTTGTGTCAAATTAAAGCATATTCGTGAAGCCGGTCTTAAGGTAAGGTCAGACACCTTACAAAGGGAGAGCGTGATTTAGTAATTTTTAAAGCTAGTACGGGTATATTTAATTTTTGGTAAAATATTCTCTACTAAAGGGACTCAGACAATACAGCTTTCTCCTTAGAAATCAGAAATCTTGGAGCTATCTTTACCTGGCTGATGAAGCCCTTATTGAGTGTCTGTTTTATGGGTCCAGAGGAATATTCTCCATAGGATGGCGTATTTACTATAAATGGACTATATAGTATTATTTGCACAGGGCATGGCTGTCATTTCTTCTGTGGTCTTGCTTGCTCACAATATTTTATTGTACAGCAACAGGCCACTTTAAGAATGGTAACAATAATGACAGTTGAAACTGCCAAAATAGAGTTTCTTGATAAATTATGTCACGTGTTTTTTGAAAGCAATCTAACTAGGCATTAAACATTAGGAGCATCTTTGATGTTTATAGTTAAACTCCAGGAAAAGCAAATATTATCTAAACACAGGAGGTCTGTATATCCTCATGTGAATCTTGGTGTGCTTTGTGTATTTCTTTCTGTTCAGTAAAATGGAATTAATCTTTGCCTCTGTGCAAGAGCTTCCTGTAATAAAGACCAGTCACTGCTGCCCTCTTTCCTTTTGCAGGGTGACTGGTCTTGTCTTTGCTTTTTCTGCAAGTGGGCGGTAGTAGTGGGCAAGGCCTGCAGGGTCCCTCCAACAGCTCTACTCTCTGCAAAGGCTATGTACAGTACAGTGATGCGTTCACTGCTACTTTGATATCTGGGTTTGCATAAATATATATACAGTATACTGTATTTATATCTTCCGTACCAACACACATACATATATACATACATACACACACACATACACACACATACATACATACACACACATACACATATACACATACACACACACACAAACATACACACACATCCTTGGATGGGTAGGGTGAGGTCTTGGTCATCATTGCAGCTGCAGCAATGGTCAAGAAATAATTTTTTTATGCCGGAGATTCTGCACAATGTAAAGGAGATCCAAGCGGCTATACAGCCGCTGGATCACTTTTACAGGAGGCGGAAAGGGGTCTCCCCCTCCAGCTACAGCCATCCACCTCTTGTACCAGGCTCCCCCAAGCAATCTTATAGAGCTCAGATCCCTCTATAAAAAGAGTACCTTTCGAGCTTATTACTATCACAAGGATGTTGTTTATTTCCTGTGATAGCAATAAAGTTGAGCAAGAAAAATTAAAAGGGACAATGTAAAAAAATATTTGAAACAAAATTTAAAAACTAAAAAAAAAAAAAAAAAACAATTTAAAAGCACCCTGTCCTGCATGCATATGTATATAGTGATCGTGCCACACATATAAGGTATCACCATGAACGTCAGAGTGAGAGCAATAATTCTAGCATCAGACCTCCTGTGTAACTCTAAACTGATAACCTGTAAAGGCATTTAAAGCGTTGCCTGTGGAAATTTTTGGGTACCATAGTTTGTTGTCATTCCATGGGCATATGCAATTTGAGAGTGACATGTTAGTTCTCCATGTACTCAGTATAACATCATAATTTATATTTTAGCAAAAAATGTGGTATTATATTGTGTTTGCACTAATATTCATTAATGTGTATTTTTTCCTGAAAATTTGCAATTGATAAACCCTTGCACAAATATCGTGCAACATAAAAAATTTAAACAACCACCATTTTATTCTCCAGGGCCTCTGCTTAAAAAATATATAATGTTTGGGATTCTAAGTAATTTTCCAGTAAAAAAAAATGCTGATTTTTACATGTATGAAAGAAACGTCAGAATTCGCCTGCAGTAGAAGTGGGAGTTTAGTTCTAAGCCTACTTGGGTGAAACCTGAGTGTAATAGTGTTCTCCTTCAAGCCTCAAACTTTTTTAAATACAATTTCCCATATCAAAATACAGGATTCATTGGAAAGAGGACTGGTAAGGTGTGAAAGAAAATTATTGACTATATGTTGCAATAATGATTGCTAATTAAACCACACTAAATGGTCATTAATAACATTTATTCTAAGTACAGGTGTCTGATGATAGAATCTATACCTATATAGCTGTATACTCTATACCAGGGGTGGGCAAACTTTTTGACTTGAGGGCCGCAATGGGTTCATATATTGGACCCGGGGGCCGGACCAAGAGTAGATGAATGATGTGTATGTGTGAATTAATATAAATTAAATTAAAATTTGTAACATTTCATCCCCCATAGTACTATTCCCCCCCAAGTAGTAAGCCAAGTCCCCCCTGTGTCAATTTACTTACCTTTGCTCCGCGTGTTCCTCTCGCCATGTTCCCACGCCGTTCCGGTCTTCAGGGCGGATTGTGAGAGGAGCCTAGCTCCCCTCACGTTCATCACGCTGCCCCGCCTACACACATCCTGACAGCCAATCACTGGCTATCAGGATGTGAGTGGCAGCGAGACTGGCCAATCATTGCATTTGAGCGCGCTGAATGATGCAAATGTTTGCCTGCCCTGGCTGTTTTTTTTTTGTATCACGCTCCGCGGGCCGGATTAAAAGGTCCGCCGGGCCGTATACGGCCCACAGGTCGTAGTTTGCCCATTCCTGCTCTATACCATTGAACCTTGTCAACAGATTTCAATAAATGAAAAAGTCCTAGCTATTATGTAATGTTGTAGTGACAAATGATAGTGTTTAATTGCGATTTGCAGCTATGAATACATAGGAGCTATCCTGTGAAAACAGGAACACAAGTGGACATGGATAGCCTTGAACCATGGCATCTGTACAATGACACCTGTTTGTATATAAATAGGTTCCTTAGTTTTATCACAAATGCGGCAAATTTCTAGAAATGCACTAAGCTATCATGACTAAGAATGGATGAACCAAAAAAACAAAAAAGTGACTATCGCAGAACAGGGCAGGCTTTGGTAGATCTGGGATTACATGGAGCTGATAGCAATAATACCTGATCTACATCTGCTGCATCTAAATTTCTACTAGGTCAAAGAAACAAGACATGACATGCAGACTACATGCAACAGAAAGGGAAGTAATGGTATACAATAAAAAAAAAAAAAAGAAAAAAGGCAATTTAGATGTATTACCCGAGTAAATAAAGTTAAGAATGTTGGGTAAACACGTATGGAAGTTGCAATCTTTAACTATGACTCTGACTGGAGAATTGTGGGCAATCCCTGCAGATTCTTCATAAATGGAGAATAGGAAGTGTGCTGTCTTGTATATGCAGGGGTCAGCAAAATGCTTTCTGGAGGTAGCAAACAAGAGCGCAAAGACAGCACTGACACTGCATAGTACTACTTTATGGGCTCCAGACACCGGCCTTAACTCCGCTGTACAGAAGAGGACATCAGCACATTGGCAGCGAACCAGCAGATCTTGTATGTCAGATATATATCGTGAAGGCTCATGTTTCAAAACTGGCATCTTTTCTGTAATTAAAAAAAAAAAAAATCCCAAAACATTAGACCTATAGTTGTCTAACTTTAGCCACCAATGCATCACACGCTTGTAACAGATAATAGGTAGCAAAAAAACTGCCTCTAATTTGACACTGTCTTTTTTTTGCCAAATATAACTCTTCTATAGACATTAAAAGAAATATATGCAGGGACAATCAAACTGTCCTTTGGCATTTATGCTAAAGTGGAACTTCACTCTCTCAAACAACATTGACTATTTTGAAACCTTATGCTTTTAGCTTTAGTAAATAGATAGGAAATTATATTACATTTACTTGTTTAAACTTTTTTTTAAATTTCTTTAGTTACTTCAATGCCTTGGCAAATTATGTCATACATCCCAGGAGTCCTCAGGAGGGGCTTTCTCAGTTAAGCACACGCTCCTGCCTGCCTGAGCTAAGGGCAGATGGATTCCAGGAAGTAAATTCTTTATGAATCCTTTACCCTTACTCAAGATGGCCATGGCCAGAAATGCTAGGGCTTGATTTCTCAGCAAAATAAAGCATGGAGACATACATGGATGGGTGAGTTTGGTTTGAGTATTAAAAGTGAATTAGATAGCACTTTTGGTTTGTTGTGCTCAGATACAGTGCAGTTCCACTTAACTAAACTCAAACTGTTGCAGTTGGGTTTAGCCTACAGGGGTAAAGTGAGGGATGTACCAGCAATCGGATAACATTTTTCAACTGGTATTAATTATAATTTTGGTAAAGATTTATTCTCCCCAGCAAGTTTTTGGTCAACATTTTCTGCTGGTTACCGAAAGACATCAGAATGGCTTTCAATCAAGCCATTCCTTTTGAATGGGCTGTTTAATGCAGTACACTGCGACACGTTTCTTTTTCCAGCAATCTCCACCTGCAGACACAAAAATTCAAAACATTTCTATACATTTCTTTTCTAGCACCTTTTCATGTTTTCATCTATTGATGTATAGCCTGTTTTAAAATGCCTATTTACCAACCACAATAGCTCAAAATGAAATCATTAAGTGAGAGCAGCGGCTCACCTGAAGGTCTCTGCCAGACAAAACCCAAGCGGTCTCGACTTTGCTGTCCCTTTAGACATAGTGCTCTGGGAAACCACTGTCAGGCATTTAAGGTTGAAAGTATATATAAAGATGTTTCCCAAGGACAAAGAATGTCTTACGTTCACAGGTTGCTCTTCTTTCCCATACAAGTCAATGTGGATGCAAATCTTTGCTGTCATTCCATTCTTTGGATTCCAATCTGCCATTGCAATTTTCTTACCTTTTTTTTTAAATGCAGCTCCTATAGTGAACAAGGCATATTGTCTGGTATCCTAATATGGTTTCCTGCTATATGGATAATAGCTCACATCTCTGTTTAGGTAGGTGATTCAAAGAGGAGATGTCCTAATACAAAGTGGATCCCTTCCCTAAAGAAGAAGCATATTCCTTAAAGCCACCAGGATCCTCAACATTTCAAATGGCCCTTAGAAAGGGGTAGGAGCAGGTAAGCTAGTTAACGGTCCTTTGGATACCAGATCACCATCCCATCCCCAAATTTAGTTTAAGGGCTAGTTCACATCAGATGCAGTCTAGTGCATTTTTTTCTGCATCAAAAAATGCATGCACTGTGTTTTCCATGTATTCCAATGGCCCTTGTTCACACCAGTGCAGTCAGTTTCTGGTAGAAAAAAGTGAACATTGCATGTTTTTCTGTACAGAACTGTACTGGAACATAGCATACTGCATCAAAACTGCACTGGATGAGGTTAACATGGTACAGGACTTGCTGGGGAAGGAGCCTGAGCATGGCGCCTACAGCACTGATAATAGGTGCTTAAACCCGCCACACATAGATGCCTGGGACATGGTGATCCTCAATGTTGTCCTGTGTGGGGTCCGATCGGAAGTGGTGAACCCTGGGATAGAAAGGGGAGCTGTGGAGGCGAGACAAGGCAGAGTGGAGGAGCAGGAAAGGGGATGAACTGCGCCGGAGCGCGGAGCAGTGGATGCTGGGTGGTCAAATGGCCGCCGCTGCAGAGGAGCATTGGGAGGCAGAGTGAGCGGACCTGAGCACAGAGGAGAGGACGACCCATGTCCTATGGGACTGCCTAGATCCCACAGAACGTCACAGATGGTTTCCCCCCCCAATAGCGAACAGACATCAGTGTACATGAACATTTACTATTGACCACCAGTGAGCACCGACAGAAAATGGAGATTTTCTGATCGCTTGATCGCGCTGGAGAAATATAAAAAATATTTAAGCATCATGAAAAGCAAAGCAGCAAAAGGGGGAGGGTCTAAGCCACCCCAAATAAGTTCAATCAAAAAAAAATATATACCCACACAAGAAAAAAATTTGGAAGGACAACCCCAGAGAGATAACAAGGAGTGAGCAGAAGACGGGAGATAGAAAACATCAGTGGCGATTGGTCTAGATTATCTCTGGGAGCAGTTAATAACAGCTAAAGTGTAGAAGTTGAAGAACTAGAAAATGAGTCGGTTACCAAGAACTCTAAGAGCAAGAAAAGACCTCGCAGATACCAACTAAATCTGACATAGTGGATATGTTCATGAGATTGGAAAGATCCATAAAACAGGAGATGGTGATAATACACAAATATCTGGTGCAAGTCTTATCACGATTAGAAGAGACTGAAGGGAAACTGGATTAACACGCCCCAAGTGATAACAAAATTAGAAAAACAGATGGAACAAATGAGAAAAGAGCAAAAGGAGTCTGCTATATAAACTGGAATATCAGTTCCTAGAGACATGATCATACGTTTCCATTACCACCGAGATAAAATGGAGCTATGGAGGAAGATAAAGGGAAGACCAATAATAAAATATGGAGAAGCAAATCTACAGATCTTTGCTGACGTATAATCGGAAACTATAGCTAGAAGAAAAATGTTGAAACCATTACTGGAACAGATGAGAAGACAGAACATACGATACAGCTGGGGATTCCCAGCATGCTTAATAGGGTGGAAATACGGTCGCTCCGCAGAGTTGAGATTTCCAGAAGATTTGAGAGACTTCTGCAAGAGACTCGAAATACAGAGAATAGACATTCCAGGTTGGGGAGGGGGGGTAAAAAGAGAATAAGGAAATAGAAAATAAGAATTGGCAGTCAGCCCATAGGGGGAAAATGCATCAAATATAGAATAGAGGAGGGGGAGGGGGAGGAGGAATGAGAGAAGAATTTTTTGGAAGCCCATAGGGGGCCTATCTCTTTTTTTTTTCTTCTCTCTTCCTGTTCCTCCCCCTTCTCCTAGGTAAAGTCAAAAACTTAGAAGAAAGGCAGGGAAATAGGGAACTGCATATACATTCAGATACGTGGCCTAGGAAAGAGGAATGCTGTCTGGAGGGGCGTACGTGGTCAGAGCTCCACCTTAGTATGGGATCGATAGTGGGGCTAGGACTACAAATGATCCAAAGCCAAGTAAATGGCCTAGGGGAAGTGGGGGTGGGAAGGAAAAGGGAAGGGGAATTGTGTAGGAATTAGCTCCGTGTTCCTGGGGGAAAAAAAAAAAAAATATATATATATATATATATATATACACATACTGTAAAAAAAATATAAAATATATATATATACACATATACACACACATACATACATATACACACACACACACACACACACACACACACACACAGTGAGGAACAGAAGTATTTGAACACCCTGCGATTTTGCAAGTTCTCCCACTTAGAAATCATGGAGGGGTCTGAAATTCACATTGTAGGTGCATTCCCACTCTGAAAGACAGAATTTAAAAAAAAATTCAGGAAATCACATTGTATGATTTTTAAAGAATTTATTTGTCTTGCACTGCTGAACATAAGTATTTGAACACCTAAGAAACAGCAAGAATTCTGGCTCTCAAAGACCTGTTACTGTGCCTTTAAAAAGTCTACCTCTACTCCACTCATTAATCTAACTTAGTAGCACCTGTATGAGCTCTTTAAAGACACCTGTCCACCCCACAGTCAGTCAGACGCCAACTACTACCATGGGCAAGACCAAAGAGCTGTCAAAAGACACCAGAGACAAAATTGTGGACCTCTACAAGGCTGGAAAGGAGTTACAGGGCAATTGCCAAGCAGCTTGGTGAAAACAGATCAACTGTTGGAGCAATTGTTAGAAAATGGAAGAGGCTAAAGACGACTGTCAGTCTCCCTCGGACTGGGGCTCCATGCAAGATCTCACCTCATGGGGTATCACTGATGATAAGAAAGGTGAGGAATCAGCCCAGAACTACAACGGAGGAGCTGGTCAATGACATGAAGAGAGCTGGGACCACAGTTTCAACGGTCACTGTTGGTAGAACACTACTCCGTCATGGTTTCAAATCATGCATTGCACGGAAGGTTCCCCTGCTCAAGTCATCACATGTCCAGGCCCATCCGAAGTTTGCCAATGACCATCTTGATGATCCAGAGGAGGCATTGGAGAAAGTTATGTGTAGAACGTTTTGGACTAAACTTCACTCGTCGTGTTTGGAGGAAAAAGGATGAGTTGCATCCCAAGAACACCATCCCTACTGTGAAGCATGGGGGTGGTAGCATCATGCTTTTGGGGTGCTTTTCTGTGAAGGGGACAGGCCAACTGCACTGTATTAAGGAGAGGATGAATGGGGCCATTTATTGTGAGATTTTGAGCAACAACCTCCTTCCCTCAGTCAGAGCATTGAAGATGGGTCGTGGCTGGGTCTTCCAACATGACAATGACCCGAAGCACACAGTCAGGATAACTAAGGAGTGGCTCCGTAAGAAGCATATCAAGGTTCTGTAGTGGCCTAGCCAGTCTCCAGACCTAAATCCAATAGAACATCTTTGGGGGGAGCTGAAACTCCGTCTTGCTCAGAGACAGCCCTGAAACCTGACAGATCTAGAGGAGATCTGTTTGGAGGAGTGGGCAAAAATCCCTGTTGCAGTGTGTGCAAATCTGGTCAAGAACTACAGGAAACGTTTGACCTCTGTAATCGCATGG